TACTATTATATATCAAAATATTCTTTCAAATAATGTTTGGATTTGTATTTAAATATACTTAAATCTCGGGGAGACAGTTACACTCCTAACTGTAAGACTCATTGGAAACTTTGTATACAGGAAAATGTGCACATTCCTGAGATGCGTGTTAAATCACAGGTCATGTTGAATCTCATCACTGCAAGGCTGAGTGAGGAGTCACCTTTGAGGGAAGCAATAGCATTGGTTGTTCTGATGTCAACTAAATTTTACTCAAAAAGAAAGTGTCTGAGTCCATTCCTTCTCAAATACAAACAAAATGGAAGTTGGCAGGTTGACTTGGTAATTACATATTACCTCAAATTTTAATAAATATCTAATGGCGAGGCAGCAAGGCAAAGTGTGACAGCATTTCACTGGATGTTACAGAGGTAGAATCAGCATTCCCATCTAAACCTCCAATTATCTGGTCCCATGATTTTGCATAACGCTGTAGACTTTTCCAAGGACTGCTATGTAGAACATTTCTGGAACTGTTGTGCTAGTTGTTTCTGGCTTGTTGCATAAGCTAGGATTAACTTTGGTTGAGAAGAAGAGTGACCCAAGTCAACTGTAGCTTATGTAAGGGGGACAGTCAGCTCTATCTGACTCTCCCTGTCTCTCTCCTTCCTTCCTTCCTTCCTTCCTTCCTTCCTTCCTTCCTTCCTTCCTTCCTTCCTTCCTTCCTTTGTTTCTTTCTCTCCTTCTCTCCTTCTTTCTTTCATTTCTTTTCTTCCTCTTTGTTTCTTTTTCTTTTTTTCTTTCTCACCTCCCACCCTCATCCCTTTCTGTTGAGAATCAAATCTAGGCCCTTGTGAATGGTAGGTACACACTCCACTAAGCTGTAACCCCAGTCCCTACTTCTTCATCACATTTAAATCCTAAGTAGGTGGCGTGGCCTCAGCCTTGATCAGCATCTCTCTTGGTGAAGTCTTGATGCATTGGCCTACTCCATCATTTTCTTTGCTTCGTTCTCAAAATCATTTGTAGTCCAAAATGGTAGACCACAACTGTATTATAGCTGAGAAAAGAAAAAAAAAAAAAAAAGAATGATAGGGAAGACAAAGGGGCAAAGTGCGTGTTCCAGGGGTCTGTAAAGTACATGCCCTACCCTTTTCCACAGGATGCTTCTCACGGCTCATGGACTGGAGCAGCACAGTAGCCACCACTGTTTATAAGAGAGTTTTGAAAATAGAGGTTTTATTTGATGGCCATCTCTCTAGTTCAAAATCGGGTGGTTTATTACTAGGGAGAGTAGAGCCGAAAAAGAAGGAAAGGGAAAGAAAAAATGAGATTTTAGAGAATAACATGCAGTCTCTAAGGTTGAGGTGGTCCGCCAGTCTGGACTCCATTGCTTCCTGTGGATGCTGCTGTTAATAGGGCTTCGACCAGTGTTACTGCTGCTGCTTTGTATTATGTCAACTCAGGGAAAGTCAACATTAACTGAATACTATAATACGTTATTGCAGGTTTTGGGGACCAAGACATATTGGTGTTGAGAAAAACTCTTACTTATGTTTTTAAATATATGAAATATTAAAGGTTAGTTAATAGTAATGAGAATCACTTGGTGGATTAAGAAGAGTCCTTTATTCTTGATTTATTCCATGTCCAGGAACGGATGCTGTGTCAGTTTTCACTAGAGGAACAGATTTAACATAAAATACATGTGTAATTATACACAGGGTTTACTAGGTAGGCTTACACAATAGGAATCAGAAGGGTCTCAATGGCTGTCTGCCAGGTCAGAGGAGGAATGTAAAATGACTATGTGTTGGTGGACTGGTAATTCATTCACAGATCAAAGACCTGGAGCTCTCTGCAGAGTCCAGTGCGATTCTGTGTCAGAAAGCTCAAGGTCTGTCCTGCAAGCCTGAAGCTAGTGGAGATGGAAGACAATAGTGAAGTCCTTTGAAAAATAAAAAAATTAAGACTTCTTTCTCCTTTCCTCTTAGTCTGTCTAAGCCACCAGCCTATTGGTTGGTGTCACCACATCCAAGGCAGTGTTCCCTCCACGGTTTGCAGTCTTCCTGTTATTCACCCACAGACACACAGAGCTTTGTCAATCTACTGTAGCCCTTACTTAAGTTGACATATCAGAGTTAATGATCACAGCCATCACCCATTCTTTGGAATGGTCAAAATAATTTAAAAATATTTTGTGAGGATAAGAAGGCTAGGAAAGAAAACGAGAGCAAATTTAAACATCTTTTGTGGGGCTAAGGAAGAATATGAGAACAGACAAAACATTCATGTTCTAGGTAACACATTCTAGATTTCTCTCGGGTTTATTCTTTGCTTTTTTCCTTTAAAGAAAATCTCAGTACTGTTAAGAAAGGAAAAGAAGAGAAAAGAAAAGAAAAGGAAGGGGAAAAATGAAAAAAGAAATGTGTATCGGGCATAGATGTTGTGTCACATAATTAATGGAAACTCTTATCTGAATACCTAAAAATTCAGTTAACCAAGGAGCCCTTTTGTGGTTATAGACAGTGTTCGATATGTGGGATACAAAGAGGGTTTTCTGAAAGGACGTTTAAAAATCATTTTGGAGTTCTAATGCTTGCTGGAAATTCACTTATTTGCATTAGTCAAAATAGCCAAAGAGATGTTTCATTTTCTTGTAGAACAAAGATATGTGTCACAGGCACAAGGCCTTTGCCATAAAATGACAACTTCAAAGATAAAACATCCTTTGAGTGAATTTGATAGAAAAATTGAAAAAGGAATGATAATTCATATGTTTTGCAGGATATATTGTCAAAAATACCATTGAGAAAGTGCTTGTGATTTTAATACAAAGCCCTTTTACTGATAAAAAAGAAACAACAAAGGACAAATTGCAGTACAACTACTCCAAAGTTTTCTTACAAATGAAATTTTATTTTTAAACTTTAGTGTAGATATTTTCATCACATTTTTCATAATTCATATGAGTAAAGAGACAAAAATATTGTGGGATGTCATACAAGACCTATTTAATTAGGATTAGGAATGGTCTTATTAAAATTCTTGATTTTTGGTCACTCAGATATTTCTCTAATTTAGAAAAGAGATGTTAAGCTGCACAATAGCTCAAGCAAGTGGTATGTAAAACTTCTAGGTCTTTTGTAAGCTGGGTAATAGACAGACATGAGGCAGTGTTCAACAGTTGAGATAATCTCACTCATTTCCTCCACCTAAATCCACAATGGAATTAAGAGAGGTTTTTTTCGAGTATTTAAGCCCTGTCTCAGTTGAATGAGTAGGAGTGAGTCAATACATAATTTCCACATGATGTGTTTAATGGAGTAAACTTACATTCCCATGTTCAAAACCAGTTTGGAATACTGAATATTTAGGTATGGATACTGTATCTTTCCTGAGACAATAAAATCTTGTCTTTCACTTTCTTGTCTTTGTTACATTTTCCTCCTCTTATAAAGCAATTACATTCATCTATTTTCATTTCCTCCAGACAATTTGCATGGAAAGATTTTACTATATAAGATATCCTGATAGAAGAGCTCAGTGGAGGAAAGTGACCCACCTCATGGCATCCAGGAAGCAGAATAGAGGGAAGGAGAGAGAGGGAGAGAGAGAGAGAGAGAGAGAGAGAGAGAGAGAGAGAGAGAGAGAGAGACAGAGACAGAGACAGACAGAGAGACTAACAGAGAGAGACAGACAGAAGAAGAAGAGGAACAAGAAGAAGAAGGAGGAGGAGGAGGAAGAGGAGGAGAAGAAGAAGAAGGGAGAGAGAAAGAAAGTGTTACAGGCTTCTGAGTTAGATAATAAATATCATAGGCAGTCAGACAGGGCTAGGTCCTCAAAGGAGCCAGTACAAAAGCCCAGATACCTTGCAACTACAGGGGAGACAGGCACCTCCTGTGGTGAGCCAGGCCTCAAACAAAAGATCAAACAAACGCACCCACATCCTAAGGGTTGATATTCTAAACAGGTCTCTATCACCCTGAAGAGCCCAGGAGTCATCATCCCAGCCCTCTGTGGAAAGAGTCACTACTCCTTAAGCATGCTGACTTGCTAGGTGACTCATTTCCTCATTTGTCCCCTACTTAATTTTACCTGAGCAATTAACCTTATTGGTTAACCATAATTCTGTCCCACCTTATGCCCACTTTGGGAGTTTCCAGGTTTTCCTCACCTTGAACTTGTCTCACTTCGTGGTTTTACTTTATAAAAAGTCCCTGGAAAAGACTCGAGACCTCTTCTGTCTCTCAGACAGCTTTCTTTCTCTCAATAAGTATATTCTGCTCACTTCTGTTGTTCCTAAAATTCATTCTTCAATGTTAGAGAACATGAACTCATACTGGGGCATCTGCTAGGTTGGGAGTTTCATTCCCTTATAACAAAAGGGGTCAGATACTAAAGTTATGATGCCATGACCTACCCAGGCCCACTAATTCCCTAAGTGGTTCCCCAAGTCAACCATATTGACAGTTGAGTTTAACCATCACAGTCCCTAAACTGTGAGTATTGTCTCAGGTTGTTTGTAGATTTAATTCTGAGAACTTTACAGGATCTGTGAAAATTATATCCAGAATATCCAGAGTATTCAGAGAAATACATTTATGAGAAACCAACTAACTATATGCCTATCTTTATTCTGGTCAGCCTTGTGGTGGGTGGTGGTCTTCTGAGTTTCTAGAATGAGAACACCACCTCGTTGTCACTTGATCAAGGGATCAGTGTTGACGGGATTGAGGGATCAGTATTGCGAGAGTATTGTGTAACAGCATCTTAAGCAATAGAATCACAGACAGTGTATGAGTGACAAGTTACCGTGACTGCCTTTGGTAATCACGACTTTGCTCCTTCAATTTGAGATCCTTTCTATGCATTGGCAGGGCAAAGGTCACAGCTGTGTCTGTGGCTGCTGAGAGATGTTTTGGCAGATTGTTTTCTTTTACTGTTTCAGGTTAAATCTATTTTGAATTTGTATATTATGTCAATGAGAACTGAATTGGTGCTTAAATAAAGTACTGAGATTCTTCTCATCAAACAATGTTTATTTTTATCAGAAAAAGTATGTGGGCAACAGATATTTAAAAACAAAAGATATTGTTTCTTATTAACAGAATGAATAAAATAAAAAACCTTGATTATTAATCTTAATAGAGAAATGCAGAGCATATAATTTATAAAAAATAGAAGGTGCATTTTTAAAAGCATTGAATACAATTTATTTTGTCATTATATCAGCACACAACATGATGAAACAATGTGATAAAAATAAGATTCTAGAGAAACTACAAGTTTTTATTTCTTTCTTGTATCCTACAGTTTGTCATCTTTTAAAATACTAAAAAACAACAAAAAAATGCTTTCTGATGAGTCAAACTTTCCTTATAGCAAAGACACGTACTTACAGATTTTACTTAAAACTACTTTGCTAAGGTATTAGTGGGAAAAATTGAAAGAAAAAAATAATAAAAAGCAGGACTTAAGTGAGGAAAATCAGGACCTGTTCAGGTGATGTGGAAGCTACGTCCAGGAAGATTGACTTCCTGGCGTGAGGCACATGCATACATGAAGGGCTGGTGTATTCCAAATGAAGGGAGATTGTTTAGCAAGCATGCTTGAGAATGTATTTGGCAATAAATTTGACAGCCAGCATGGTCTCTTTGCAGGTTGGCTTTATCAATGACTCAGGAAGGAGGAAACCAAACTTGCCTTTATCACGGAGCTCAAAGGCAAATGTGTATTTGATGCCCAGGTCATAAGCCCAGTCTATAGAAGAACCTCCTACTGGATCTGCAAAACATAAATAATACATATTTAATTAGAGATAAATGCTAACATTTTCCTTGAAATGAAACTCACTGGTGTAAAAATTAACAATAAAGTTTATGTGTACAGTTAATCGCAGTAATGAATGAGAGTAGTGATCTGAATGGTACAGAGCACATAATCATTAATTTGTAATCCACTATACATCTTAAATACATGCTATATTTAAAGAATTACACTTTGGTTGGGTCAGTACTGAATGACTATCTCCTGGACACACAGTGCTGCAGACAGATCAAGTACAGGCAGTGGAGGAAACCAGCTGAGGGGTTGTCACACTGGTCACTGAAAGCCACCATGGAAAACTCCACGTTATTCGAAAGCAAAGTCTTTCTAGTAGTTTAGGTCTCTGTATATTCAGGGGTTAAGTTTTGTAAGTGGAAGATCACAAAAGCTTAAATTAGTGATTTTAAAGACATATTTTATCTCTTAATATATACTTCCCATGTCAATTTTTATGAAATTCAATTATTCAGTTTTGAGATTTGAAAATTTGTACATCTAGAGGGTATATATACATATATCTCACATTTAGAAATTATATGTAAATATATATTTTACAAATATTTTAACATATTTTACTTTATGTAATAGAAAAGTGCATTTTTATAAAATTATGTTCTAGAACAAGTAATGAGCTTAACTGATACCAATTCGTTTATGTTTGAAAGATAAAATTCAAAGCTCTGATTAAGAAAGCAGAAGAGGAAGAATATTTTAGTGGAAGGAGGTAGAGCTGGCGCTTAGATTATTAAACAAACATTCATTAACTCACTTGGCTACAAAAAGAGTACAAGTTACAGAGAGGGTGCCTTGGGCATCCAGGGACTTATATCTTAGCAGGGAGAAGTCAAAGTGTAAATCCACACAGGTGGGAAGTTATGTTATGAGCCATCAGACAGCACAACATTGCATAAAATTTAAAGAAAAAAGAGATTATGCTTGATGAGGAGGAAGCTAGTTCATTCCTGGCCTGGCCAAACCCTGCCTTTGTGATACAGAAGGTACTTGAGAACCACGAAGAAAGGTAAGTATTTTTCCCAGTGCAGGTGCAAGAAAGTCATTCTGGCTAGTGAACTATCAGAATGGAAAAGCCTGCAGGCATTTTAGGGACCTGTGAGAGCCATTTGGGTTGGAGTGAAGAAAGCAGTGAGAGTTGAAGGTAAAGCTTGGAAAACCTGGGGGTGTTTAAATTTGGGGAGACAGTAAGCTACTTCTGCATTTTCAAATGTTTAATCTGGGTTGGAAAGAGCAGGGAACAGTGAGGAGGAATAGTGAAATGAAACTTTAACCTAGGTAGAGCCAAAGCACTGGGAAGAAAATTGAAGGACTTATTTAAAAAACATTGATTCGAAAGGGTAACCAGAGTTGCTAAAAAGGATTAAAATTTCAATCTGGGTATTTGGAAAAAATGGCATATTGTTAACAGAAATGGGAACTCAGAGAGCATTTGGATGAGGGAAAAAATGGGAAAGGAAGGAAAAATGATATGTTTATCACTAATAAGACATTCAGGCAGCAGCTCAGGAAAATGAAGTTTGAAATTATTGGCAGAACAGCATAGGTGAAATTGGTATGCACACATTTAAGATCATTGTCTTCTTGGTGAATTGATCCTTTTCTCATTATTAATGCCTCTCTTTGCAACTAGCAACTTTGTTTTTGTTCTGAAACGAACTTGATCTGATATTTACCCATTTTTTTAGAGTTTTAAAATTTTGTGGTGCTGGGGATCGAACACTGGGTTTCATGCAAGCTAGGGAGTTCTCTGTTACTCAGCTGTACCCATTCCTCTCTGGTCTTTAGTCATTAATATAGCTTGACAAACATTATGTTTTTTTATTTTAATCTATATTGTTATGTTTGAAATTAAGTGTGTATGTGTCTGTGTGTTTGAGGCAGGGTCTCCCTATGTAGTCTAGGCTGGCCTTGAACTTACTAAGTAACCCAAGCTGAACTTGCACTATCTATGGTCTTTCTGCCTCAGCCTCCTGACTGGTGGGATTATAGATGTGTGCCACCACACTTGGCTAGAAATTAGACAATGCATTGTTGATCACAATTTTAAAAATTTTAAAATTCTCTGTATATTGGAACATCAAATCTGTTATAATTTTTTAATGTATCATCACACATAAAAGAGACAACTTACATTATATTTCATATAGCTTTCTTATTTTCTGTAGTTTGTAGTCTTCTCTGTCACTTTCTTTTTGTTTAGAAGATTTCTCTTAACCACTATCTAAGGGTGAGTCTGCAAGAAACACGTTCTCTAAACTTTTCCTGACAATGTCTGACAATGAACAGTGTTATTTTCCTGACAATGAACAGTGTTATTACTGGATTTAGAATTTGGGTTTGATAGGATTTTTCCCTTTCAGCCCTTGAAATAATGCCCTTTCCTCTGACCTCCACTATTTTAAATGACAAATTTGCTGTTTGAATTGTTTTCTATCTAGATCATTTTCCTCTGATGGTTTAAAAAGAAAATTTTTTTTGTCTACTGTTTGTCAGAAGTTTACTTACAAATTTTCCTGATGTGAATTTCTTTGAGTTTATTCTGTTCGGAGTTTACTAAGTGTTTTGAGTGTGTTGATTTGTCTTTGTCAAATTTCTTAAAATAATTTTTCTAGACTTCCTCACTTTTATTCTACCCTTCTCTGACTTCTATAATATACTTATTTGTTTATGTTTAATTTTAAAGAAAACAAAATTAAACAAAACAGACCAAAGCAGATCAGAACAGAACAATGCATGCAATACAGGACTTCAAAACAAGACAACAGGAAATCAATGGTGGCTACCACAATGTCTCTTGTTTTCTTTGAAACAGTTGTCCATATCTTCTCACACAATGAATGCAAACAAAACAAAATAGTATGAAACCAACCAAAACAAAAGAATGAAAGCGTTACTGGACTTCAAAACAAGCCTATAGGAAATCAGCAATGGCTACCATAATGTCTCGTTTTCTTCAAAATATAATACATTCATTAATATTACATTTTTGTTTTTCTGCTTTTTTTCAATTTGTTTTCTTTTTTGGGGGGTGCATGAATTCTACTGCATCATTTTTAAATTCACTGATTCTTTCCTCTGCCATATTGATTCTGCTTGTGAACCTCCCTTCTGCCTTTTGTTTGTTGGGGTATTGTAGTTGGCTCCCTCTAATAGCTTATATTTGTTTGATTATTAATTTTGATTTGTCTCATAGCTATACTTGATTGTTAAATCATTTTTTAATGATGGTGACTTTTAAATTCTCAGATGATTCCAGCAATGAAATTGTCTCAATATTGGCATCTGTTGACTGTCTTTTTGCATTCCAGCTCTGATTTTTCTTGTGTTTAGAAGAGCAAGTATTTATTGATTGTACTGTGGACATTTTGGACAGTTACAGTTTAAATATTAATTTAAGTTTCCTGTTTTAGCAGACAGTCATTCTTTATTGCTTAGTGTGCAAGCCCTGACCTACTTTGTATTTTGTGGTTTTGATAACAATATAGTTTTAAGAACCCATGCATTCGTTATTTTAGACTGATATGTTTGCGTAGGGCTGCTAGGTTCCCATTGATCCCTACAGGTCCAAAAGTGGTTGCTTAGCTGGGCCATCTGGTGTCCCCAAGTGACAAATGGGAGGCCTCGCCTGTAAAGATAACACTTAATGGTGACAAAGTCAGAAGGCAGAGGAAGGGCTGAAGAGAAAGCCTTGGGAAGAATCTATATATTGTGTTAAATTTGTTGTATCATGTCTGCTTGCTTGCTTTATTTATATTGTGAGACAGGGTCTTGCCATGCAGTCTATACTGGCCTTCAATTCTCTATATAGTTTGTGCTGCCCTTGAACTTGCCAAGATCTCGTGCCTCAGCCTCCCAAGTGGTGAGATTACAGATAAGCACCACCATACCATAAACCTGTCTTCTTTTAGAGGCAGTCACCAGAGATAGGGCACAAGAGGAGAGCAAGAAGAATTAGGAAGTTTTAAAGTCAGAGAAGCCAAGGAAATGGCAAGAAGAAAGGAGTTCAGCAGGGCAAAAGTTGGAGGGCATTTGAGGAGCATGGAGCTCAGACAGATGAACGAGGTTCAGAAGACTGACATTTTTAACTGGCTGGGCTTAAGTTCATTGGAAAGAAGGCACACAAAGAGTTTGGTAGGAGAGGAGGTAAGGTGCATAGAAACGATGTAAAATGTGATAATTCAGAGTGTACTATATGCACTTACTAAACGTGGCCAGGTTTTAGGTGCACCGCTTCCCCTCTTGTGTTTGTGCTATAGAAGCCAGCGCGCTTCTCTATTTGCAGTTCAGTAAGCTGCTATGATTTCAAAAGGTTAAAAGATATGATGAGTCTGAGAGATTTACATTGTATAAAATTTCTCATTAACAGTGGTGATTGAGTATGTATGTAACTTGGGCTTTTTCATAATTAAGTGATGCTATAAAATGTAGTGCATTTTCTTTTATGATGCTACCTCTTGCATCTTCTAGACCTTAAATTTGTAAATAAAGCATCAAAGCATACAGTGGAGGCAGCACTAAAATTTGCTCAACATGATATTTAGCCTTTTATTTAGTTCTATGAGTAGTTATTAAGATATAAGTACATTTATCAGTTATAATAATTCCTTGATTAAGTTTCAGACACCCTTCTAAATGGTTTATGCCTCTTAAGCCATTTAATTAATTTCTATTTCAATATTATGTAAGGACAAGCTGTCATTTTAAAGAAGAAGAAATTCAGGTACAAAGAGTAAAATGCAAAATGCCCATCAGGAGCAAGTACAGGTGACATTGAAATACAGGACTCTAAAAGTCATACACCAGGAATCTCTGAAAAGGTAACAAGTGAAATAAAATAAACAAATCCACGAGGCTATGGAGGAAATCAACTTAGAAACAGTTTCTCATGTAAAGAGAGAAATAACAGGCTTCGTAAAGGAGTTGATCAACATAGCCAGAGAAGAAATAAATAAAAAAAATACAGGATCATCGGAAATTGATTGGAACCTTGAATGAAAAATATAGAAAACAAGCAGAATCTATGAAACAAATTCAAATTGATAGCCCAGAACCAAAATATTAGATACAGAGATATTAAGCAATGTGCTGAAAGACGTGTAATAAGTGGTTGAATCCGGATTCAAACACAGAATATATGGGTTGAATAACAGAGTTCAACTGTGAACCATTGTATGGTGCTACCCATCTTATGCCAATCTATGATTTGCAATATAATTTTTTTCTCTTAGTTCTATAATTGATTTTATGTTGACAATATATTTCTAATATATCAACTTCTGGGAAAAATACTTCCTACCCCTTTCAAGGTACAATATTAGGTGCAATATAAGGAACTTGTATGTAATTCAAAAAGTCTAAATGCAAACATACCAAAGTAGGAGTCTGATTTCAGGTCAAAGGATTCTATATAAAATGATTCTGGTGATGTAATGTGCACTGAATTTTCTGTTTCTTGATATCGCACTTTCTAGAAATTATGTCACTTTGAAAAGTACTACTGAAATGTACTAAATACAGTATCCTGTGCTTGTATATTAACATTAAGTGAACATTTAACAAGAGCTAAATCTACAGCTATGTGAACATAAATTAAAATATTTCCTCCGTCCTTCTAGTCCCCTTAATGTAATCTCAGTTTGAATGTCTCTTAGAAAGTAGACAATTAGCTTGTGTCACGAGCTGTAAGCTTTGGCTTTTCTTCTTTTCCCACCCTAGAATGGTACGGAGGGAAAGAGCACTTAGTTAACAACCAGGAGCAGATACAGCAACTTTTCTGTGTGGGAAGAGCGTAAGAAGAGCATTCTGAAATCAACTTCTTAATTCATGTGACTCACATATAGATAATAATGCTGCATGGTTCCTACCTATACATATAACTGTTTTTGCTCGCTAGATACTGGGTTTAGTTTCTTCTAAAATGGTGGAATTAGATATGCGGGTACTATGCAAATGAAAACATTTTGAAATCTTTTAAAAATTTTATTTAAATTTTGTGCTATGTAAATGTTGTTTTGGGGCTAAGTATTTGGTTTATTGTTTCAACTGTGGTCTAGAATGCTGACTTTTGTTCTTGTATTGCTAAAAGGTGATAAAATCTTCCTACATTTTAATTTTACAGTCTATAAATAAGGAGGTCAGCCTAGATCGCTGTTTCTCAACACTACTTTCATCTTTGAAGCATCTTGGGAACTTCTTACGATTCAAGTGCCTGAACTCCACCCAAGGCAGATGAAATCACAGTCTCTGGAAGTGGGGCCTGGTAACCTATGCACCTTAAAAGCCCAAGCATGAAGACCATGAATTATATCATCTTCTAGGTTTCCTACTGGCTCCAACATTTATAATTCATCATATCTGATATATTTGCTTTCAGGGTTCAAATTGCAAATTTACACTTAATTTTTTCCCCGAATATCCAAGATCTCTCCCTAATTTGGGTTTAAGTACATGCTCTTAATTGTCCTTTTGTTCTGATCGCCATCAAATCAAGGAATGAACAATATAGCGAGGGCTAGGCCTTTCCTCAAATTCTGGGTCTTATTAGGTGACGATCAGGATGTTGGAATGACTAAACTTTAATCATGAGATGCTTTTATTTTACATTCTCACCAAGTCAATTACTTCATTACTTTCTGCTTATCATGAATGTTTGACTAGTATTCAATCAGATGCTTTATTAGAGCAGTTATTTTTTGAAATTTTGGATGTTATCAAACTGCTACAGCCTTATATGAAGGATATGAGTCTATACAAATTTTACTTTCTTTAAAAAAGTTTTAGTACAATATAGTAAAAATTAAAGTACTTCATAGTCATACAAAATAGTGATTTCTGCTGACCTTGTCTTCTCATTTTGAAAGTGACACATAATGGGTGTAGTTATAGCACCTCTGGCTATCTGCTTCCCCCCATAGAATGCACCTTCCCTGAGAGCATTGCTATGACTTAATTCTTTCTACTATCTCTGAAATCTCTGAATTCCTAGAGTATTTGGTAGGTTCTGTTTTTGTTCACTAGACGATTATGATACAGTGTGATACATACCTCCAGAACTAGTGTTTGCACACATGTACACACACACACATCATTCCCACATGTACACAAGAAAGAGTCTAATTCAGTTTAAACAGTTAAAAGGTAAGTGTGGACTGTGACTCAATTAATTCTTGTCAGTTCCTGTAAAGATAAAATGTTGCTATTGGTGGAGATGTGCAACAGGAAGGATATTATGGCTTGTGTCTAACTGTCCTCCCAAAGACTCATGTGGTCATTGGAGGTCATTAGAGTGTGTGACACTAGAATTGATTCATGGTACAATGCTAGAATCAAAAGCACTAGGATTAAGGTGTGAGTGTTACCTGCCCTAAATATTCTGGATTAGACATAACGTATGGAAATAGCTGTGATTGTTTGATTTTGCTTTGCTACCTTCTACCCACCATGTACTGTTTCTCTTCTGCAATGCCCCTCTGTCCCACGCCAGTTGCCTTGAAGCAAGCTGATTATGAATTGAAACTTCTACATACTGTGACCTAAAAATAAACCCTTCCTCCTCTAACTTGTAGATGTCAGATATTTTATCTTAGCAAAAGAAAAAAGTAACTAAGACAAATTTGCAACTTTGAATTGATTTAGTAATTTGTTAACCCTGTAAACTTGTAAAATTTAATATAATTTGTTTCTAGAAAAATTTTATTCTCCCCCAAACAGGCACAATCTAGTCCCTAAATCCACATAAAATCCAGAATCTCCTGTGAAAACTGAAGTTCAAATTAGCAATTTGAACTAGTTTTCTAATCCTAACATATAATTTGTTAGTTTTAAAAAATGTCACAGTGAATGGCTTGAGAAACTTACAAATTGTTGATGCTATGGGACCATAAATGTAGCTGGTTTCATATAGAGTTGATACAACATCAGTGCCAATCTTTGCAACTTTGTTCTGGAAAGACAGGAAAGTTATAGTGGAATAATAAAATACTTCCATTAACTCAATTTACTAGATGCTAAAAAGCCACCTTACAGGTTATTTGCCATTTGAATATCAAGAATAATATAAAAGGTTAAATGAGAAACATTTTCAGTAAGCTATGAGTGATTACAAGACTTCTAAATGTGAAATCAATTGTATATAGTGACACTTCTCTCTCTCTCTCTCGCTTTCTTTTAAACTATGCATTCTTTTTTCAGCATTTTTTTTCTGAGGTGGAGTTCATATATTTGTCTCTTCCAAAGCCAAGTTTCCAGGTTCCCCATTCCTTTGTGTATGATAGATGCCTTATGGCTTTGGGACTTTCTCTATTAATCTGGCTTGAGCATACCTTGGGAGGAAAGAAATTGCTCCTTTCAGGTATTTGGTTAACTAAGGTTTCTCTTTCAGAGTGGCATTTAATGATCTTTGATGACCATTAGTGATTTGTATTATGAAAATTATTATTGGAATGAACTTTAATGAAATATAGTCAAACATATTTGCATTTCCAATGAAGATTTTTTAGTCTGTATATATGGTGCATCTAACTAAGAAATAGTTTTTCCTAAATTAATTTAGCTGCTGTGTAAGAACTTTTATTGTACTTGAAGTGGTTGTTGTACATACATGCATTTTTAAAAATCTGTAATATTTTTCTTAGAGTAAATTGAATTTGTGTTGCTGTTTCATTGCACATATTAATCAAATGTGTTGATATTCTCAACTGGGTTGAGTAACAAATAACTTTACAGGCTACATATTGCTTGTATATTTCCTTTGTTGTATACATATACATTGATTTAATGACTTCTTCAAATCTGTGACCTAAGTCAAATCAACTACTATTACGCTAATACAATGGACTGAAGTAAAAGTGAAAATTGAGATTTCTTTTTTCCTCAGATTAATTTTATAAGGCAGTACTTGAAACATAGTTTTTACTTCATATTTGCTGACTAGTATGGGATTCATGCTAGTCTTTATCTATGTTATATCTTTTCTTCTACAGCAGTTTAAAATGTTTATTCTATTCACCCATTCACCTTGTCAGTTATTTGTTTTTTTTTTCTTGTATCCATTCGTGGAGTATTTTTTCAAAATTAATAAATCAAATCAGTTTTTGTGGAAAGAAAAATAATGTACAGTGGATCAAAATTTTGGGAAGATAGTATGTTCTCAGTGATGAAGCTAACAGGATTAATGTCACTTGCAGTTTTTTTTTCAGCATAAATATATATAATACATCTCTCTAAGTCTTTTGTCTTTTTGAGACAGGGTCTCTATGCAGTTCAGGCTGGCCTTGAACTCACTTTGTAGCCCAGGCTGGTCTCGAACTCGCAACGATCCTCCTGCCTCAGCCTCCCGAGTGCTGGGATTACAGGCCCGGCTTCTAAGTCTTTAAGGACATGACTAACAACTGTCTTCACTGTTCAGTTAGGCTTTTGCTGTTTGTAGCTTTGTAGTGTGACCAGTGGTAAATGTTCCCTGAAAATCCTACTTTGATTTTGATGTTTGTTCCTCCAGGTTTTCTGTCTAGAGTCACATTAAAAGATTTCCTTATCTATATACTTTTATCAGATGGAAATGAAAGCTCATGACTTGTACTCCAAATAAAACTTAATTAGTCCTTTGGTATTAAAATATAAAATTATTATAACAAAAAACAGACTGAAAAAGAATGGTGATGTCAGTGTATAATTCACAGATTTTTTCCTACATACCAGGTCCTTATGGTTGGGTGGCCATTTTTTTGTATATCCATAGGGAAACAGAAGCATCTGGGAGTAGGAATGGAAGGTGATGTAAGCTTTGATGGATTTCAGGTGGCTTCGAATGAAGTCAGTGACAGCTTTTGTCTCTTTCTCGGACTCTGGTGAGGAGCCCCTGTAGGTGTTACTGCACGGATTATCATTGTTTAGAGAAGCTGCGGAAGACATGAGTGAGATCACCATCTGCCTCGCCATCAGTACAGTCCCTGCCTCTTCTGATGTGAATCCCCAAAACGTCTTAAACATTCTGGCCTGTCATGTTTGTAAAGCTACCTCATTGTCTCTTGTGACATAGACTATATATGTGTCATATTATAAAATTTAGTCCATGGGGATATTCTTAAACTTGTCTATTTTCCTGCTTGTTTCTAATGGTCACAGAGCAAACACACCAAAAGCATCCTAGAGCTTAGAGCCAGTAGGCACTCATTTCAATTCTATTCCAGCTCTTAACTTGCTGGGGATTTTGGGAAAAGACCTTTGCTGAACCTTAGTTTTTTTCAACTTGTTTCAATAGGAAGCTTTTAGCTAGTGATACCTACAATCATCAGCATATTCATAATGCTAGAATTAAAACCTGAGTTGATATTTTTAACTGAATTAAATGAAGAAGAAATACATGGATGGGGCAGTGGTGATTTCTGTCCAAAAGAATAATGATAGTCTTACTTGAGTAGCAACAACATTGTCTGATAAGTAGTCCTCATATTTTTGCATTTCTATGAAATATTTTCACTTTTGCCCCCACCTCCACCAGATGTTTCTTTTCATTAAGAATCTAAAGAATTACTTGCATTTCCGTTTTACTCACTAGTATTTCTCAACTTTTATCAAAATAGGAACAGGAGGGAACTGCAGTCTCTTCAGTTTATCTGAATTTTCCTATATCTGGATTTCAACTGTTTTTAGAGGGCTAGATATGTTCAGTGAGATGGTTTGATAAACATTTCCCCCTCTAAAAAATCTTCACTCATCTCTCTGTGGAAGTGATGTTTATTTTTTCTTTAATAGATGAGGAAATTAATGCTGTCTCAGAGAATGCTTATTTTTACTAAAAAAAGGTATGGGAGGTTAGTTCAGTTCAGTTTCTGCTTAAATACCACATGGTCTCTTTAGTATGAGAATCTCTCTCTCTTGCTCCATACATGTATCTATTTAGCTTCTAAATGCTCATACAGTGTTCTCAAGACTAAGTCCATGACTCACAGTGCCATGAAGCATCAAAATTCCGGTTGAGGTCAGTGCCAATGCAGCTGGAGTTTGGGTTCACAGAACGATTTTTTCTCCACATTCGATTCTGCCAGTTTAACACATGGAAGCGTTATGTCAGATCATTTTGTACTTCTCAATTTGATCATCTCAGATTCTCTTTTTAGGTATCTACATCTTTATTTGAAATTTACCTAGTGAAGATGAGCCCTTTTATTTTAAAGAAAATATTGTTTTCTTGCAATTTGTAATTAGAAATGGATGCTAATATTCTGAGGATGAAATAATTTACTTTTTAAAAAGCTGTTGTATAGTTCTCAGTATTAGAGAATTGTCATGTTCTGCAATTATGTATAAATTAAATTATAACTTGATTACACCTTCTATCATTTATAGATTCAGATAAAATACAGGTCAAATTGTGACTATTTTAGAGCATAGTTTTCAGGAAAGAACTTGCTGTTACAGTATCTGTCTAAAAGTTCAAAGTTAGATGACAGATCAATAAAACAGCCTGTTAAAAGATTCTGACTTGTCTTCATTTGTGTTTTGATATTATGATTCTCTCTCAATCCTTTCCTCAAATGATGAAATAAAATGACTTTTGCTTTGAAGTCAATGTGTTCATAAAAGTCTCTAAATAGCTTTTATTCTTAGCTAGAATATGATTTTATTATTTCATAAAATCATACAATTCCTTTATAGTAACTGCTTTATTTCATTTTTCTGTTGTGCTATCTTTAGTGGCAAAAGCTTCTTATTATTTCGAGAACTTGTACAATAAGAAATAATAGTTGATTTAACTTGAAATTGAAAATTTTAAATTATAGATTCCTAAATTGGAATTAAATTATTGCCCCAAACTTATAATTAATACATAAGAAATATGCAGTAAACTCAGTGCATAGTACATTATTGAAATACATATGAGAGAATACAGAGCAGTACCTGTGTCCATGACCAAATATAGCCATCCACATTGAACACAGGAAGAACATAAAAATTCATTCGGTCCAAAAGTTTGGTCATAATTTTGTTTTTTCCATAACTTTTTGTTGCCTAGGAATGAAAAAAAATCAATATACTGATGTGAAATTTGGCTACCATGTGGAAATCTTTTAATAGTCTGTAGCTATCATTCCTTGAGTCATTTCCCCATATTTCAGTGACTTTAAATATTTTTCTTAACTTGCACAAAAATAAATACCCCTCAAGATCACAGAAAAATTACTTATGTATACTAGTGACACTAACTGAGGTATATTCTTTAATGGATCATTTAATTATTGTAACTTTAAGCATTCAAAATGTAGTGTGCAAGAGTCATTTCATGAGAGGTGTGGAGGCCAATTAGAAATTTAATACTGCTACTTGTTTGGCGTGTTTTTTTCCCCTTATACTTTCTATATAAATACAAATTGAGTTTATAAGCATAGGAATATGGAAATATTGGAGCAATATCTTAAAATGTTTATAAATGGGATTAAAGAAACATTTATTTTCTTTCTGGTGCTGGGGCTTGAACCTAGAGCCTCATGCATGCTAAGCACGTGCTCTACTACTGAGCTACACTCTGAAACAAGAAAAAATTTTATTAGTGACAATCTCAAGAATTTAGAGATTGATCAGTCTAGTCAAAATTTTCCTCGTACCTGACTCAAATTTTTCTAATTATCTAGGTGTTCTGTGGCTACAGAAAAATTTCTTGTCATTCTTGGAAAAATTTTCCTAAGTATTTGTTTGTTGAGCTAGCAAGTTACTTTTAGTTGTATGATGTGTGTTCCTTTATGGACTAAGGGAAACTCTTGTTCCTTAGCTGGAATTAGCATACTTGTAGCAGTGAGTCAATTCTACTGCTTCTTCTTTGCTCGTGAACAAATTGATGGCTGGATACTTATCATTATGCACATATTACGTGCAAACATTGGTAGAATGAGAAAGTTAAAGATCTTAGGAGTCCAAGTGTGTTAGTAGAGTATGAAGGCTAAAAAACAATATATACGATTTTGACATTAAAAATTGAGTTACTTCTCACTTGGAAAGGAGGGTTAAACGTAAAATTTCCATGTTCATGCATTGACTATGAAATACCTGAAACAAAGGTCTTATTTTGAACTCATTGAAAATAAGGCAAATTTTCAGGTTATAATATGGACTTAGCTTCAAATTTTGCATATTTAACTACTGCGGCAAAATAAGTTTCTTTAAGTTTCATAAAGTCTCAGCTAGAGATTAAGAAGTTTGATGGAAGGTGTCGATTTTATAAAAACTACAGAGATGAGTAAAATCTGGAATATGTAAGTCCTTAACAGCACTACATAAGAGCTGCTCTTGTTAAGTGGACCTGTGCTCATTCAGAAAGGGGTGTTACCTCTCAGTAAAGTGCCGGGGACTCCACAGTGGAAGGAGAATCATGTGTTCTGACTCATTTACCTGATAGACAAACCACTGGCAGAATGCTGGGGAGATCCATTCTCGTGCATGAATGCCACAGTCCATAAAAATAGCTTTTCTTCTTTCATCTTTTCCAATCTAGTTAAAAAGAAACTTGAGATGTGCACAAACTCACACATCGATCCCATAGCTCATTCATATGCTCAGAGCAATACTTTCCCTGTCTGCTGTTGCATGGGAGCTGTGTTTGCACATGTTTTTCTCAGGGAAGATGAGGTCACAGATCCTTTAGTGTCTATACATAATTCATAATCTGGTGCTTTGAATTTTTCAATTTTTTTTTTAGTGTCAGAGCAGCATTTGGGTTTTCTTTTTGTTTCAAAATGTAATTTATTACTTTCTTACTTTACTGATGATATTCTATGTTTTAAGATATAAAGTTACTTCTGTTTTCTTATATTTTTTCTGGTTTTGGGTGGAGGGGTGTTGAGCCTGAAGTGGAAAAGATTTTGTATGGTGTTTGGAGTGAGGAGAGGAGAAAGAACAGTAGCAGACATTTGATAGTCTTCCATTGTGAAGAGTTTAGAGTAATTTTGGGGTGGTTGGAGAGACAGTGGTTGGAAGGGAAAGGATTTGTATCCAGTAATGAATATTTCAGGGCTATATCTTTGGTCAGAGAACAATCTGGCAACAACTGAGAGGCAATGGTCAGATCTATGCTAGGAGGAAATCCCCCATCAGCACGGAACTGAAGTACCTTACATACCATTTTGGGGTCCTTTGAGGCTACTACATTAAATATTTTCTTTGTGACATTAGTTCCTTATTTTCACTGAATTTTAGTAGGTAGAAAAGAACTGTACAACTCAGAGGTATCTCAAATTTTTGTTACGAGGCTGTGGAATGAAATACTTGTCCGAGATTACCCACTGTGCAATCGCTGACCAATATTCTTAATTCCATTGAAAACCATCCGTTATTTCTATTCATGCACTTATGTCTACAGTAAATATTCTTCAAAATATCCAGCTTTTTGCCATCTCAAACTTAGCTGAGTAATAATGTTTTTCACTAACAATAAGAATCAGTGGTTCTTGAATTGTTTTTACCTTGAGAACATATAGTGGGTTATCTTCAACAGTTGACCCAATTTTAATTCGAGAGACCATTTCAGGATGCTTATTCACCATTTTTTCAGTCCAAGCTACAATCTTAAGAGAAAATCAAAGTTGAGGGTTTACCATAAAGGAAAACTGTAAACAACAAATGGTGAAGATCACTTTTTAGAAAGAATTATACCTTGTCCCAGTTATTATATTTTGCATAACTGTGCCTGCCAGGGATATCTTCTTCAACATCAAACTGTTTCTCAGTCTCTTCTTGTAGATCGTGTATTAGAATTCTGTTTGACAGGAGAGTGATAACATACATATTTTATCATTGGAAAGAATAACACAGTTATCTTTCTTTTGTAAAAAATTCCTCTTCCTTCTCTATTTTGAATCAAGTTTATTCTTTTTAAAGTTATTCTTCTCTAGCAATTTCCTTTGGACTCGTCTTTTGTGTGGCTTTTGAGTTCCCTTTTTGTCTAGGGATTCTAATATGATAGTCTCTAGTTACAAGCGGTTAATGAGCACTTAAAATCGGTCTTGTCTGGATGTAGAGATTGCTGAATGTTGAAGTTTATTCTAAATTTTGAAGTATTAGTTTTAAAATTATATAAACAATCCATAATTATGTTGAAATATTTGGAATATATTTGGTGAAATAGAATTTATTGCTGGAAATCAGTTTTACCTATTGATCTTTATTTTTTTAATGGCTACTAGAATATTTAAAATTGCACATCTGGGTTAAGTTATATTGTTGTAGTATTCCCTATCCTTTTCTACCCCACATGCACACACACCCACACACCCACACACCCACACACCCACACACTCACACACATTCACAGACATACAACACAGTCAACGATGGAAATTTTAATGCATCATCCACAAATTATTGTTTCTTATTTCATACTTTGTGGGCTGGGAAAAACTTGAATAACAATAACAATGATAATGATATTAATAGACAAGTACATAGCACTTACCATGGGCCAAGCATTGATCTGACTTCTTTATGTATTTAACTCAGTTCGTCTTCACATGAAATTATGATCTTCATTTGAGACACAAAGTGTTTAAATGACTTGCCTATACTTAATAAAGCTAGCAAATGACTGAGGGGTGTGGTTTAGAAGCAGAGTAAAAAGAGGCAAGAAAATAATTGAGAGGCTAATAGTGGGGGTCAACAGAGGGGTAAGTGTTAAGTGAACTAACTCAGTCACACAAGCTAAATATCTCATAGTTTCTCTTATATGAAAAAATCATTATATATAAAGTACAAAATAAGAGGCAGTAGAAAAAAAAGATTAAAAAAGGGAGTGTAATCCAGTATGGACAATGTATATAAAAACATATCTTGATTTACTACAATTATTTTACTATTAGTTGGTTTCTAGTCTGCATATATAATAATTAACTTTAAAGGTTTTATAAAGTAAATAAACCCAATGCTGGAAAAATAATAGATTGGGTAGAGGGAAGGGTCAAAAAAGAATTGAAATGTATTATATACATTCAATGTAGTTATTATGTACTATAAACATGTACTGACACAAGTAAAAAACAAAAAACAAAAAAGGCTTTTGTCTCCACGGTGTGCCAATTTTCATCTCTTTCAGCATCATCCCATCTTCTACCCCATCTCCTGAGCCCCGCTGCTGTAGTGATGGGTTGTCTGATGCTTGGCTGTCCCTGAGTGTCCAGCTCTGGCCTCCCCTCCTGAATTCCAGACAAGTGTATCCACCTGGCTTCTCTATATTTTCTTACACTGCTTTAGATTAATATGAGCCAGCTACTGCTTTACAGACATTATTTAGTCTTAATCTTTCCAGGATCACTAGTGTTTGATAGATGAGGAAATTATTGCTCCAGAGAGTTTACATATACATGGTTTGTATGTGATGGAACTGGGTAGTTTGGCTTTAAAGTGCTTTAAGATTTGCATTTCAAAATTGCTATCTTCATCATATAGATATTTCTTTTTAATATTTTGTCTGTTTTGGAATTTTCTATTCAGATCTATGAATATGATCTGAATATGAATTAATTCTTAGGTAAGAACAAGTCATATTTAAATGTAGCAAAATTTAACATTGGAGAGTCTGCTTATTCTTGTTTTTAAATTTTTGTTTTGTTAGAATTACTTTGGACATCATTAGAATCATCGAAAAAACTAAGCTTTTGACAGAAATTGTATTAAATGATAAATTTGAGATGAATTTTATTAATATGGGACCATAACCATTGAATAGAACTGTCTCCAATTTCACTGTATGAATGTCCACTTTATATGCTTTAATTTTGTAATTTGGACAACTGTTCCTGGGAAGATAATATGTAACCTATTAACTGGAGATTTCTTACTGTACATTTTTTTCTTGAAATACTGTATTATTTGTACCCTTTTACTGCTTTGCTTTTTAATGTCCTTTCCTTTTTTCTCTTTAAATTAAAAAAAATGGGATCATAATATAGTTACTTTTTAATTCTTCAGTAACATTTTATATATGGGGATGGTTTATTCATATATTTTAAAATTAACCTTTTGCATGGTTTTTTCCCCAAATTTTAAATTGGTTATTGTTTATATTTAGAAAAACAAACTACTTTGGTCATATTTATCTACTAGCCATTTTATTATCTTAAACTCTCTTTTTACTTTTAAGACATCTTTATTTGATTTCAGGGTTTTGTATGCAGTTAATACTTTTGTTATTACTTTCTCCAGCTGCTATTTTCTTCTGCATATAACATTTTTGTTTTGCAAATTTCTATTTTCCCCCAATTTTTCCTCGCTCTATTGCATTGGTTAAACTCTGAATGATGAAAAATAATAATCATCAAAGTCATCTTTTTTCTAATTTTGATAGGCAGAATTAAGTATGATATTTATTGCCATGTGAGGTTATTATAACGACATCTATTTATGTGATGTGGTTATTACTCTCCACTGAGGTAAATCTGTATTGAAGTCTATTACTAGGTTTCTTAGTAGGTTGAATATTGTGTTACCGACACAGGATATTTACAAATAGCCTCACAAAGGACTATTCTTTTTCTTGTGCATGGAACTCTAAAAAGCTGGATTAACCTAGAAGAAATTCATCAGATGTTTGGGAAATGACTTGCTAAAAGTGAGTACACTGGTATCAGTGGGTGTTAGATGATAGAAAAATGAAATGAGAATGAAATTACCTAAGGAGAGGGATAAGCAAGCACAGGGGTGCTTTCATTTGATCCCTTAATGGTGGTCCAGGCACTCTGACATACTTTTTTGTTTTAACTTCCATTGTCTTTGAGAATATCATTCTCTTATAACACAGTAAAAAAATTATATTTGAACTGATCATTCTTTATGCAACGTTATACTCTATTTTGTAGTTCAGAGAGCACTGTGGCCCATAATGGAAATATTGCAACGAAAATGTTTTAAAGGAAAGAGTTTTTTAAGTTATCTACTCAGATTATTTCCTTATTTGGATTATCTCATTCCTTACTGACTCCATATAAATAAAAGTACTACTCTATTGTTGGGTATGAAATACACATACATTTTTCTTTTGATAGCAATGACTCTTGGGTGCAAGACTGTGCTTTTTTAAACATTTATTCTAGTCTTTCTGTAGCCTAGTTATTTACCTATGTAGGAAGCAATTGCCTGTACTCAACATTCTTGAGTTTCAATCCCAGCTCTGCCTCTTAAGATGTAATGTGGACCACTTATGTATTTCTCTGAGCTTCATTTTTCTCACTTTTACAATAATACCAAATGCACTACAGAGGATTGTGACGAGGATGACGTGAAGAGAAATAAGAGAGGAGCTTGGCGAGCCTTAAGGATCCAGAGAACTTCAGACTACTGAAGCTGATGTACAATACTAACAATCATTTCATGGAATTAACACATTTTAAACTCAAATTTAATGGTATACCCTTGTTTGATTCTGAAATTTTCGATTTCCTATGAAAATAAGTGGTAGAAGTGCAGAGCTCCTTTCTACTGGGTTTCTTCTTACAGATCAATGGGACTCATCTGAGTTCTGATGCGGAACAGAAATGTGGTACTCTCCTAATTAGACTTTATTTAACACATGGGACCGAGTACCACTTATGAATATTGATTCCCATTAACAGCACGGACAAGCACATTATTATGCACATTACATGTAACTCACTGTATGCTTTACTTTTGACCTACGAATCTGGAATTTCTGAGAAAGTAAATGTGTGACAGCAATTTGGGGGTCAGGTGGGACATGTTTCACCAAAACTCCGAGGGAGCCGGAGGAGGTTTGAAATTATATTTTGGGCGATTGCTACAGCTATAATTAATGCCTTTAAGGGAGAATATAGCTAAAGAGAGAACACAGCTTTTGCCCCACCACATTAATAGAAAGTAGAGAAATCAGACAAAAGAGAAGTTTTGTGATCTCAGAGGCTGATTCATAATATAAGGCAAAATTAAGCAGTCATGGGAAGATTGTATCTAAGAATATTTTTAGACTTATGCACATCAATTTAAGTCTTGTGAGAGCAGCCGCAGAAAGCAAATCATGTGAGCTAAAATACGATCCTTCCACAAATGCAGCTGTGGAGGACATCAGAAGGGTGCCAGATTGTTGCTGATAGGGAATAGAAATTAAGCCTAAGGCTGGAAATTAAGAACCAGGACCAGATGTTATCTTCACGAGCCCTTTCACTAACCAGCAGCCAGGCTTCAGCAGTTGAAATCAAATTACTTTCCACCAAATATTATTTTAGTGCTCCAAGATTTGCTTACTTTGTTAAAATAATTCCCTAAATGTGGGTGAAAAGATAAACATTTATCACTGGGGATTTAATAATACAAATGCCTGATGTTAGTTCTGTTTTTCTTATGGGCCAGGCATGCTGCTAAGCTCCGTATTTACATTTTATCATGTCAATACTGTCAACATTGGTAACTGGCAACCATTATCACCCCCCACCCTTTTATGAAGGTTAAATCTGTTTCCAAAATTGTCACGACTGTTAAATACAGGAGATAGGGTTTTGAACTTTGAAGTGTCTGTCTCCAGTACCCTCACTGGAACTGTCATTCAAGAGTATCTTCACCACTAGAGTGGAATCCTTGGGAATTGTCATGGAATCTGTCCTCCCTGCAGTCTTGAGAGGTTTCTGCAAGGTTTACTTCGTTGTCCAGCCCTGGAAGCTTGTGGCCAAGGGTAGGGACCAGGTAAGAGGTTCAGAGAAGCAAGATGAATCAGACTGCAACAATTTCAAGGTTACTTTTAAAGAGCAGAGGCCTGGAGACCTGTGCCATGGACTCTAGTGTGTGTGTGTGTGTGCATGTGTGCTTGTGTGCAGCAAGGAAATGTGTTTTCAGAGAGGCAGAGTCACCGTTAGGGAGCCTTTTATTGGGTTGAATTTTACTGATACCTATATTATACCAGAATAGGAGCTGTTCATACAGTAGGGTTTTGGGTTTCCACAAAATTCAATTTTGTAACTCCCTATTTGGGTTACCGTGCATCAAACTGCACTTAGATTTCCCAACTGTGTGCTACCATGTGTTAGATAATAAAGTTTAAGGCATTAATTCATTCACTATGAAGGAAAAGGAGCATCTGGTGTGAGCCTCCAGTTATTCTGTTACACTATTTGTGTGTGTGTACATGTGTGTGTGTGTGTGTGTTTGTGGGTGTTGTGTGTGGTGTTTGTGTATCTGTACACTCACATACACACATGTATAAGTGGCCTTTCCTCTCCTTGAATTAATAAAGAACCAGTCACTAGAGATTTTATGGTTCCAGTCTCCATGAAACTCCCTATGCAATAATCTCCATTATTATCACAATTTTACAGATGAGATAAATGAGATAGCAAGAAGTTAAGTAAACTCAGTGTGAAATACCTGTGGTTTTCACGGTGCTAGATACAAACATGCTTCAGAATTCATTTCCTGACCTGCCGTTCTCCTGTTTCTTACCATGACCAGTATCTCTCTGACATTCCTAACAGGCCTTATCTACATGTTATACTGTTGAGCAAATATATAAAAATGTAGAACAGTAGGGAAAATGAATGGATCACACATTAGATCAGTCATTTTAATGATTATTTGATTGAGACACTCATTTGATAAGACTGCATATATACTTGGAATATAAGTTTGTGTTTGGCTGAACATTATCAGGTAATCAGACATTGATCTGAGTGTTGATTATCACTGTGGCAGTTTGGTATATATCTACTTTGTATTCTCCACTGCACTAAAATCTTATGTGAATCTTAATGATAATTTACCTAATAATACCATTTGAGTTGTATTATTATATTAATATTTGTTTTCTGAATTATCCTTTGTTAGCAACTCTATTTTCTAATTTTAATTTTTGACCAAACAAAGGGCCATATTAAGGATTTTCTAAATGTAAATATATTTAGCAACTTGGACTTTAAATTGCCAACTCTTAAGTATGGTATCAGTTCTCCAGGGCTTAGTCTAGAGATAGTGGCTTTCTCTCAACATTTGTCCACTGGTGTGTATGTGTTATTTGTTTCTTGGATGTGGCCTTTTGTGATAAAGGAAGTAGGGTTGCTACTTTAAAATTAAATATGGCTTAGTAATTTCATTTTCTAAAAATTAAGAAAGAATCACACACAGATGCTTTAAACTAACTAGTGTTTATATGCATTGTCTAATGAATGGTATCTAACTAAATCATTGTGTCAAACCAGCATCTTAATATGGTTTTATTCAGCCTGGTGCTCGGGCTCAACCAGATGTTTCTGTTCTTAGAACCCTCTTCTGTTACTGACTGACACCAAGTAACACATATAATTAATATGCAAATAAAATTATCTATATAATTAGTGCTTGGAGACAAGATTTTAAATACTTCTTGTCTGTGCAGATCACTTTACATATTTATATTTTTGAGGAAGGTAACTATCTAATTATGTGGCTTTCCCACAACTGTGGCTAATTTGGGCCAATTTCTTGAAATCATGTCTTAATTAGATAAAACTAATTTTTAGAGGTACTTTAACACTTTGCTTCTTGATGCAGCTAGCAAGAAGCTATGTTGGCCCAAGAAAAAGTGAAAAAAAAAATCCCACAAAAACATGAGGATCTAGCATAGATGGCTACTTGGGTCAGAATCATTTTGGGCCAGTAGAGGCTTAGAGGATCCAAGAAGAAAAAGGTACATGTGAGTCGTTAGATGCAATGGAAGCTGCCAGACACCTGCCTAGGTATCGTCCAGTGATTTATTCACTGTCCACTAACATAGCAAGTAACTAGTCTTTTGTCTACATTAGAAGGATGCAAGGAGAACATGATATCTGATTTTTTATCCTACTATCATGCCAAGTTGTATATAGGGTGGAAGGGTGATTTCTTTTAGATGACAAAATCAAAATGGTATCTGAGCCCTCTGTAAACATATTCTAAAATATACGGTAAGTTTCTGCAATGGGAGCATATTTATGAAGTGTCTACTTCTAATTTTAGTGGTGCAACTTACAAAAATATAAGTCAGTATATTAAAGGGAAATGTTTTATGCTGGTATAGATCCTGAGTTACATTTGTTAACTTCTACATTTGTATCACTACCCTCTTTTAACCATAGTGAAAGCCAAAACAGTGATCAATAATCATCACAAATAATAGTCTGCTACATTTTAAACATGAACAAAATATTCTTTGTTTCATGTATATGTATATCTTTTCTTAATTTCATAGCCTTTATATTTATTTGTTGTATTTTAGTATACCATAAATATAATAAAGTCATGAGTATCAGTCAAACCTCTGTAATACGGTTACAGACAGCATAGGATCTTTCTTAGTCAGAGGAGGTCATTTGTATTAATTTTTCCATGCCTACTAATTCATGAGGTATGTTCTTTTCAAATTCTTGTTCTTGGAATTTTTCTAGTTAACATATATTAATTTCTTGCAAAAATTCAAGAAATTTCAATCTTTGGCATAAATGGGTTAAAGCACTAAATTAGGTAAAGAGGGCATGATGTAGTAAATTAAAAGCGAAGAACTAATGCTTAGCTTTCTTTTGACAGTAAGAGTCTCAGTGAAGGGAAATCCTGGAATGACAAGACCCCAGGGAAGTCGCAGCCGAACCTTCAAGTGTATCAAACTGCTGAATGTTTGTCAGTGCAGTGTGAAGACACATGTTGTTTTATAACTCTTGCATTGATTTGTGATACTCACTGCTATGTTTTCGTTTTTATTCATGGTTTCAGGGACCAGATTGTAGATGGTCCATAGTTGGTGCTCACTAAATTTTTAAAAAATTTCTCTGTAGGACTAGAATGATTCATTTCTGCATCTTTGTCTCTTTAAGGTTTTTCTCTATAAGTCTTGTTCTACTACTTTGCTGTTGTTTACTATGAGGAAAAATTTCTGTCATGAAGAATTATTCATTTATTACATATTTTATATTACAATATCTCTGAATTTAAAGAGGTGAATTTTAAAAAATCTTTTATGTCAGGAGGATTCAAATACAAAAACATGGTGCCGATCAGCATCCTTAGCTGATTCCTTCTCAGTGGAGAAACTGGGTGGATAATCTGTCCGAGTCTACTCAGGAGGGATCTGAGCTTAGGAGAGGCTGGTTTTACAGACAGCAATGCAGATTGTTACTTTTGCAGATCCAAGTGAATGCAATGATAAAAGCGAGCTGCCTATGATCTTATCACCTCTATAAGCATGGTTTAGTGGTTCATTAGGAAGTAAGTCTGAACATTACCTTGCACACACAGGTCAGTTTTTTTGTGGGGCTCAATTTAAAATAGTGCCCTAGTAACTCAAAATCTCAAGGCTCTCAAAATTTTGAGTATCGAACACATCTGAATATTAAAAAAAGACTTACTTGTGTTGTATTTTATTTTGATCCAAGGCAGACTGAAGAGATTGGGATTCCTTCTCACTAACTCGGAAATCCACTGTCATGTTAGCAGTTACATGGTGTGTAGCATCTGGATACCAGAGGTCAAGCTGCAGAGACATGTTCACTGTTAGCATTAGCCATTTATGTGATTACCAACACATACATATTAAAAAAAGACTATGTGTTCCACACCATGGAAGGAATTTGGGTCTCAGTGTAACTAAGGCCCCTTGCTTATGAACTAGTGAGCTTTTTCTTGCACATGCATTTAAGAACTGCTGAATATTAAGGAGCGAGAAAGAAGACATTTATACTGATTCCTGTTTCAGGATATTGTATCTATTAGTGTAGAAAGGATGGGTGGCTCTTTTGGGCAATGTCTTTGCTTCTCCTATTTTGGAGTTTAATAGGATTATTCATACTTGATTTAGCAACAGCATCTGGTTCAAATGGGGAACTTGTATTAAATATCCGCCTTCTCCCTTATCAGGCCTCAAAACCAGATGTCCCTGTAAATTCCGGAATTTCTGGAAGGCTTGTATACAACAAGAAGGCACAGTCTCCCAGGCTTACCACGTTTTAAAGCAACATGTCATTGGCCAAGTTACTAAAACCCTGTATTTCAGCTCTCTCTCCTGAAAAGGGGGGCTAGCAGGACTCCATGGAAAGTATGTGGAAGGTTGTAAAATGAGGACAAGGTCTGGGATGTGCAGGGATTTAATAAGTACTGATTTCCTTCTCTATTCTCCTAGCTGAGATTTTCAGAAATTTAGTGAATGGTCCTAGAAGAACAATATTCATGTTAAAAATAAATTTGTGGTTGTTCAAAATCGAACTCAATTGAGAAAGCAAAGGGAGTGCAGCATTCCAGTCTGGGAGATATAAAGGTAATAGCTGATTTCTGTCCATCAAACCAAGGTTGTGGGCGTGTCAATGTCTGCTCAGCTGACTCTTAGATGAATCTCACTGTAACGCCAGATGAATTCGTTAGAGCACAACATGGTTTCTGTGAACCAATCAGTAAGTCCGTTTAATTAGATTGAAAAGTTACAGCCTGAGTTAGACGTCTGAGAGATTCAGAGTGACTTACAGGTGATTTAGGACGGTCATGATATCACAGTAGCAATTCCTCTAGCAAGGCATGTATGTGAAGTAAGACTCCAGAACGTGGTGAACTGTCGTGAGTATTTATTGAACACCAGGCACAGAACTGTATATCACAGTTGACGAATCTAATAGGGAAGTTATGAAAATAAGAAGTTTTGTGTGGAAGGTGAAGCTTTCTATACATGTCCTAACATGTTAACCGGCACTAGAGGAAGGGCGGGGTGTCCCAGGAAAACAAGGAACAAGCCAACGTGGGTGGTGAGAGTCAACGTACAGATTCCTCCAGCAGGAGACATTGGTGGAGCTGAGGCTTGAAAAATAAGCAAGACTTAGCCAGGTGAGAAGAGGAACACATTCTTTACGAGAGAAAGGATGCAAGATGGGTGACATCTGAATGTCTGTGGAGTTTAAAGAGCAAAATAATATAGGAGCAAGAGAATAAAGAGCATGGCAGTTTGATAGATCACAAAGAACTTTGAATAGTACACCAATAAGAACTGAAAATACAGGGAGTGCTTCTACAGGGTTATGATAGCCAGGGAAGTTTCTGAGACCTATTCAAAGCCTACTTAGTCTGCAAGAATGGTGGAGAGTAGAAGTGATAATTAGCTACATTTTACAGAAGAAGAAATTGGGAACTTGTGAGGATCAGTAAGTAACTTGCCTACTGCCACAGAGCCAGTGTAGATCTGGGAGTTGAACTTCAGTTTATGGCTCTGAAGAATGTGCTTTTCCCACACAAGGCTTCTCTCAAAAAAGAGCTTGAAGCAGAGAAATACAATTGTCAAATTTTAGAGAAACAATCAAGTTGCAATGCCGACAAGACTAGAATCCTGAATCCTAATTAAGGTACCACTGAAATTATCCCAGTAAGAGGCAGGAAGGACATAGTGGCAGTGGAGAGGACAGTGTGGACACAGGAAATGTTTGGGAATTAGAATAAACTTTTGATTGTTTTGATGTGGAAATAACAGTGTGTGACTAGAATTCATATCAGATTTGTTTGTGTGTTTAAATCTGATATGGAATCTTGATCATTTAATTTGCATCTTTGAACTTAATTCCTCTGTCTTAAATGGTTAAAGTATGATCACGACAAAGTAAACCTGTTGGAAAATCTGCAGTAATTCTGTGAAGATGGGGGGCACAATGAGCCTTGTGTAAAGGAGCACGTGCATAAATAATAAAGTGGGTTTTTTTTTTGTCTTTTTCTTTTTTATCGGTACCAGGTATCGAACTCACGACCACACACTTGCAAGGCAGATGCTTATGCCGTTGAGCTAAATCCCCAGCCCCAATAAAGTGGTTATTTTGGCTTGTTGGATTTTAAAGGACTGATCTAACTTCAAAGTACACTTGCTCTTGGAGAGGGTCACCTTGATTTCAGCCAGTACTTTGACTTTAGCAGTTTGTACTGTAACAGAAAGTGTGTCACCAGAGATCAGAATGCGAGTGGGGAGATTTGACATTCCTGGGTAAGAAGGGAAAAGAGGACCTGCTAAAGTGCCAAGCACATGTCATTATTTTACAGTTTTACCTAGAACAAATTGTCACTTGCAAAGGTTTGTGGAGGAATATCAAATAGTATCCTATGAAAACAAAACAAAAAATGGCTGAATTATCCAAGTAGCTCTGGCTGTTTCCACTTATGTTTGATAGTCTTTGGTTGCCTTGTGGGCATTAAAAATCAAATAAAAAGAAACAGCCTTTAGAGAGCAGAAAGAATGGATAAAATATTCTCAAATGCTTTACCTCATTGGTTTTCACCAACTCTTTGATGATGTTTGCTTGTTTTTCATCCTGGGGCTTCACACGGAACACCTTCTCCCTTTAAGAAGACAAATAACGAAACTGTGAACGGTAAGGAATCTTTTTCGTCACCTTCTTCCCGCCCAGGGACTGGAACAGAGGATAGTGAGATTTACCTATCAAAGCGAACAGGAGCAATTCCAAGGGCGGTAGCGATCAAACTCATGATCAAGAGGAACCTCATGGTTCTTCTCTGCTTGAAGTGAAACCTTCTGCCAGTTTTATGCCTCAGTCTTTATCTGGAGGCACAGCTGATTTCCTCTTGGGGTTTTGTGGCACGAACTGTCCTCCCTCCCTGCACTTTTTCACTTGGGGAGAGAAGGGAGGACACTAACACTAAATGCCCAGTCCACTTAACCTTTATACTAGAGAATGCCCGTTTTACAGGAATAGGACAGAAGCAAATTAATTAAGCAAATACATCGCTCAAGGTAATGCAGACTGCACGCTCACAGAGCTGAGACTGCAACATAGTCCTATTTGTTCAAAAAAACTATTGCTTCACCACACTTCTGTTGAATGAAGGAGGATATTGGCTTTAAATTTGCACTTGCAACCTGTGATGAATTGGAGTTTCTGACTACAAAACCTTTGTGGGTCTTCCTCAGTAACATAAAACGTGTTTGAAACTTTACTATAATTTGTCAAGTTAAAAACATTTACATTTAAATATATGTTGAATATCCTAAAAATGTAAGTTCTGTGGAAGTGTTTATTTGTTCACTTTCTGGATTTTTAGATGGTAAAACTTTTGCTACATTTGCTATCATTTTATTTTATTTCTTATTATTACATGTCTGTGATACAAAATAAATGCATTCATTGTGGGGAATTGGTAATACACATGTTGCAATTTAATCCTTTTTTACTTCCCTTCCTTCTCCTCTTCCTGCATCTGCCCTTATCCCTAGACCCCCTTCTTGTCTCCTGCACAGAGACAGCTTTCTGTTTCCTATTGTCTGTCTTTTATTTTGCACATCCTTCTCCCTTTCTCTTTTTCCTATTGCCAGAGACAAACCCTATTTCTAAAGCAAGACTGAGGACGACTTGAGGGAAAGAAAAAAGTGATGCTGTAATGTTTATTGGACGTTGTCTTCAGAATCAGGATGCTGTGGATGCCAGAAGATGACTTTTAAAAACAATTAATGAAAGCCATTGATTTACTATGTGTAAAGTATGCAGAGACATCTTCAGTTTTGAACACACCTCAGTTAACTATGAATTGTTTGGGAGAATAATACCATGACCTAAAGTCATAGACAATAGAGCGAAATGAATTTTTAAAATCAAATTATTAATAATTTCATTTCAAAAATTTTTTCCTTTTATCGGCAAATGGATAGATGGTCATATATGAATCTTCTTGGAGTTATAGATATGCATTTTAGTTACCAAGCTAATATTGCCAGGCGAATGTCCCTGTTACATGTTCAACAACAGAAGCCCCATTCCTCTTCATTTGATGGGTGTGTTATATCATTTACACCCCACCCCCTGCAAGTATCTCCTTGGCTCAACCCTGAAGATAAGGAAGAGGACAGATTCATAAGCACCTTCGTGTTTTTAGTGTGAATCATGCTCATCAACAGTAGAAACTCCCCAAACAAATGCCTGCTCCATTGTTTTTGTCTAAAGGTCCTTTGACCAGGGCACAGTGAAGAGGAAGCTTGAAAAGAAGATTTTTAAGATGATATAATCTCAGGAGCTCCCAAGCACTAACTATATCATTTTAAGCAGGGCTTCCTTGTACTCTGAGCTTTGGAGTCCTTACCTGTACAATGGGGATGCCTCTGTGGCTCTCCTAAGTGACTATGAGGGCTGACTGGGGTAGCACCCAGAGGTATTGGGGGGAGTTAGCAATGTGGGCGTGTCCTCTAGTCAGCTGTTGGGTTTGTGAGCAGAGACATAGAGTTGGCCACCGTCCGGCCACAACTGAGGAGAATCAGCACACATCAGCTGGTAGATGAAAGTGGTGTCTCTGACCTTGAAGGATGAAGCTTGTCTCTTCATTTTTAAAAAATACTTATTGCTTATTGGTACAGTTTAGGTATACGTCGTGATCACATTCATCACAGGGAACTCGTATCTGCACGTGTGCCTTAGTTCCTCCTCATCTCTCCCATTTCCCTCCGCTCCTTCAGTCCCTCTTCACTTCTTTCGTCTCCATTTTGTCCTTTCTTTTCTCATTTTCTTCTTCTCTTTCCTCCCCACCCCCATACCCCTCTCCTTTTGAACAATTTCTTCTTGTTTCGTAGTATCTATTATACATTTTTGGTGCTTATTTGCACTTTTGTTTTCCCACATCAAAGAAACTATTCAGTATTTACACACGTGGGTTCAATTTATTTCACTTAAGAGTACAGTGTCAGGGTGCATTCATCTAGCTATAAATGTCTCAAGTTTATCCTGCTTTATGGCTGAGTGAAGCTCCATTGTATAACAAGCTACATTTTAAAAAATAAATTTATTTTTTAAATAGATTTTTCCCACGATTTAGCTATTACAAACTGTGTCACTATAAACACGGGTGCGCTATAAACGTCACTGTGGTATGATGCTTTTTAATTCTTTTGAAAAGATATAAGAAGGAGCATACCAGGGTTGAATGGAGCCTCTAGTTCTAGGTTTTGAGGAATCTCCACATTGATTTCCATCATAGTTGCACCAGTCTACACTCCTACTAATAATGAAGGGTTCCTTTTCCCCACAGCTCCTCCAGCATTTATTACTGGTTGACTTCTTGATCATAGTTATTTTTCCTGGAGTGAGATGAAATCTCAGCATTGCTTTAATTTGTGTCTCTCAACTTATCAGTGGTGTTGCACATGTTTTCATATATTTATTTGCTTTCTGTATTTCTTTTGAGAAGTGTCTTTTCATTTCAGATGCCCACTTATGGATTGGATCTTTAAATTTGGGGGTATGATTTTTTTCCAATTTTTTATGTTTCAGAGATTAGCCCTTTGTCTGAAGAACAACTGACTGAGATTTTTTCCCCTACTCTGTGAGTTGTCTTTCCACTACTTTGGTGATTTCTCTTGCTGTGAAAAAGCTTTTTAATTAGATGAGGTCCTAGTTGATTGTTTGTACTATTTCTCATGCCTTTGGGATTTTGTTCAAGAAGTCTTTGCCTCCACCTATGTTTTGAAAAGTTCTACCTATTTGCTCCTCCAACAGATTTAGTGTGTCTGTTTTTCTCTATTTATTTTAATGAAGATTAACAATAAATTTTCTTTGCAACTTTTGCTTTTTGGAAGTCTGTTTTCAGATTAAAAATTTAAAAATTATGCAGAATATAATTTTGCAAAACAAGATATTTGAAGAAAAACTTGAAATCTCCATTAGTTGTAACATTTCAATCTCTGAAAGTATTTCCTGTGTGGTTGGTTTTGAAGATTTATAGAGGAGACTTTGGTGTCTGATATTTTGAGACAAATAAGAAGAGAAAAGAAATAAGAAAGAAACCTCTATTCTGAGTAGATAAGCATTTTGAGGATCCTGATATTCTGAATGAGATGGAGCCATGTGGTACATTCCTGCAATCCATTCAGCCTCAAAGGAAAGGTAGGGTAGGTAGACTACAGGAATGTTCTGGAGCATTTCCTAGGAATGTGTGCTATTTCTTGGCAGTTTCCTATAGCCTTTTATTATTGCCTCAAGATTTATAAAAAGCCTTGGCATATGTAAGGAACAGGATGAAGAGTTGTTGTCAGTACATTATTTTAGGATGGATTATGTAAGACTGTGATGTTTTATAGGTTAAACTAATCTCTTTACAAAACAGTTTCAAGTGGACTGCTTCACGCAGCAATAATTTTCCATCTTTTGGAAGTTTGCATTCCTAGGATTTTTGTCGTAGTGGTTATTTATGTTTCTGTGTATTTTCAAACATATTGAAATATTCTAGAAAGCAGTGATTATTTAATGGGAATTTTCACACAATTGTCCATCTTCAAATTTTAACCCAGTAAATTGCTGTAATACCTCTAGACACCTCATCCCATGGATGTTGAAAGGCAAATTTGGTGCTTTTAGTTGTAGATGTTGGATTCTTAACATTGAACTAAAACTATCCTGTCAATGTTATAGAGAAATTAGTCTTCTCCAAGCAAAGGTGGAATTTTCAGAACAATGTGTGGACGCGTGATTTAGGCTGGGTAGGAGGGGAAAAACTGCTACTCTGATGTTGGGGTAGCGCATCAGAATGCTATTTGGCCTCCCTATTAACTTGTTAACTTGACTATTAACCATGGCTCTTTCTACCTTCTGGACATTATGTGTTTGGCCAAGGAAGGACTAAGGCAGGCTTCTTCTCTTTCTGATTCTCTTTTTATTTCTCTTTTTTTCTTTTTTCTATTTTTTGAGACAGAGTCTCTCTGTGTAGTCTAGGCTGGCCTTGAACTCACTATGTAGCGCAGGCCGACCTTGAACTCATGGCAATCCTCCTGCGTCAGCCTCCTAAGTACTGAATTACAGGCATGTGCCACCACGGTGGGCTTTTTCTGTTTCTCTTGTGTAGCTTGAACCTGTGGGACTTCTAGCCAGCTAGCTGCTGTGAACTTTTGGTAGGCAGGAATTAGAGCAATAATATCTCAGGTACAGTTTGTTACAATTCATAACATGGATATAACTGAAATACAGGAAGGACAACTTGGATAAATTGTACTATTTTTGTTATTCTCAATACTGTTAAAGTTTATGAAAGAATTTTTTTCACTTTAAGATCTCTCTATTTAAATGATATATTACTAAATTATTTGAAGGTGATTGACAAATGGTAGCAGCCCCACTTCTACCACCTAGTGGACAATTAATGCAATTAATCATTCTTTGGCTTGACAGCTTCCAAACTTGTGACTGCAGGTGATTCTTTTTAGAGAGAACATAGCTATGAATATTTTAACAGGTTACACTCCATATGAAATCCTATTTTCCATGAATGCACATAGGAAGTAGTGAATCAAAATTTTATTTTCTGATTTCTAGGAGCTGCCCCCAGATTTTAAATTGTGTGTATTTTATTTTAAAAATTAAACTTCGCACAATGCTTTCCAACCTTAGCACAGTCCGTTCTAACTCTGAAAAATATCAAGTCATATGTGATATAAAGATCAAGGAGTGGTAGTTTCCTTTTTCACGGATGTAGCTAGTCCATCCAGGTCCCTGGCTGTCTCTTGTCTTATTCTTATCTGTTTTCCACATCTTTATGTGAAAAACATTCCAGGGACCACTGACAACTTAACATTTTCAGTGGTTTTCCATTGTTCTCAGACCACTGTGCCAGGTCCTGAACATGGCCTGAGCTCTGCCCCAGCATCCTCCCAGGTCCATGTGTACCTCTCTTCCCATAACCCTCCGAGGGTTTGAAGGGTCCCAGAAGGGCTCCTGCTTTGTCCAGCAACACTTCCTGACAAAGCCTCCTTCCCATACCAGGAAGCAAATTCTCCAATGTCCTTTGTGTGCAGTCCATCTAGCTTTTACTTGTTTCATGTAAGTTATATGACTCATTTTTAAATAGTCAATTTGCTAATTATTTAATGTCTCTTTTTTTCTAACGGTCTACATACCCAACAAGTGAGAAGTGTTATCTTTATTTTTCACTGTTCTGTCAATTGCTTGGCCAAATTCTTGGCATGTAGTGGACAGTTTATTATATAATGAGTTGAGATAAAAGCTAAAACAACACAGCATCTTCTCGTCTATTCCAGGTTTTACAATCTTCTATTTCCCTTACTCATGAGCCTCTCATTGTAACTGTGCACCTGGAAGGTGTTGGTTAAGCCCCCTTGGGACTTTAATTCCCTATAACTGATCACATCACCGTCTGTGTGCGTCTTGCTTACTCATTTGTTCACTATTCTTCCTGCAAAGCAGATAATTTGTCATGATTTGCAATTATTGTGATTCACTTTTATTATGATTAGTTTTAAAAGACCCAAGCTTATATGAAATACTGGGATCAGAAAAGACTCCAACCAAAGAAAGATAAGGGGTCAAGACAGATGAGCAATAAGCAGTAATCATTCTGGAAGAAGGCTTTCAGCCTCCTTGACTAGTACAGATGCTCCAGGACATAGTTGGCAATGTACTTGACTGCAAGTAACGTTTCCTCCGAGGTGGCTTGGATTTGGGACTCCGGAAGCAGAAAGCCGTATCTGCCTGTATCCCGGAGTTCAAAGGTGAAGGAATATTTGATTCCTTGGTCATAAGCCCAGTCATCAGAACCTCCAGCAGCAAGATCTGAAATGAACAAGTAGCAGGGGAAAATTACTTTTTAGGTCCAGGAAGTCAATTAAAAAGTTATCAGCTTCCTTTTGTAATTACAAACATTTCACTGTACGAAATCTGAGCAGGTCAACTTCCTAGTAAATTGGATCATAAAGGATGTGGGTACTGGTTTAAAACTTAATCATACCTTACCTATAGATCTGCTTCATGTGATTGATATGTTTAATACCCCAGAAATAATGTAATCTACAATATAAACTTTTCTAGTGTGTTTATACACTATGGTAAAATAAGATATATTTGTAGTATATATCAAAGTAGTATATAAAACTACACTACATAGCTTAATTTACAACAGTATATACATGCACTGGAAATTTATATATGAATGTGTATCTTAGGTAAGTAATGAAAGCTATATGATGAGAAGTCAGAGGAGAGGACTCCAGGCCCTGCAGGAAGTGTGCTGAACCTGAATAATGAAATGGGAGCAACCTGAGAACAGAGCTGGGTCTTTATTCTTTTTCTATTGTCAGTGTGGAACCCTGGGCCTCCTAAAAAGTCAGCATCATTTAGTTATTAATTCATTCCATAGAAATGATCTTGAGACTGGTACATAATGCATTCATTGTTTATCTCTCTATTTTCCAACAACTGCACAGCCCCCACCAAACTGCAGGCCATGTGTTTAGTTCTGTCCCTTAAGGGCATATAGTTTAATGGGAAAAGAGCACCTAATTGAATTAGGCTGAATAAGCATACGTGATGTTCACAACACACAAATAAGTGAGTCATTTCTGCTAGAAGCTGCTTAGGAAGAAAGTATACCATTTCTTATTTGGAACACCTTTTTAAAAAGGAGAATATAGGAAGCTATTTTATAAAAAGCTAAAAAACCCCAGCAACTGAGGATTAGAGCCTCCCTAAATGCACTAAAGGACTTTTGGATTTGGTCTTTTTTTTTTCTTGTATGTATTTCTGTTTCTTTCAGAACTCAGAGAAAAAGAAATCATTTGAAGACCAAGGAAAATAGAAATTGGAAATGGGATCTGTGGTATATGCCTTTGCAAAGAAATCCAAACGCTGAAGCATTCATGGCTCTGGGGTTCAGTCCCTAACCCTCTTCCACTCCCATGTTCATGCTGAGGGACTGGTGAGAGGACTGATGTCCTTGAAGGTGGCTTGTGACTCAAAGAGGCCTTGTACATGAAGTCTGTTTAGCTTAGAAAATGCTCCCTCATGCACTTTGTGCCAGCAATGGTCCTCCAATAAGCTGCTGAGCCATCACTTGGGAACCGGTTCAGGTTGCGTTGGCCAGAGGTGTTCTTTGTGCATCCTAATGTCACAGTGCTTAGCACCTGTATCATTTTTCTTGCTTCCATATTGTGAGTTCTTTGAAGGCTGTGCTGGTCTCCTTTCCCCTCCCTCTCCGCTGCTTCCCTTCTCTCCACCCTCCCTTCCCTTTTCTCTTAGCACTTGCTGAGGGCCTGGTACACAGTAAGTGTTCAGTAGGTGGACACAGAGAGGAAATGTTTCTATGGCTCAAAAATTTTTTTTCTTTCTCTTTTTAGATAGAAAAATGGTCACATATTTCATAAAGATATCACGATCGCAAAAGTCATATGTTCTAAACAATTAGAAAAGAAAGATGCTAGGGACCGTTTGGTAGCTTTTTAGGCACAGGATTGCTCTGTGCAGTCCTCAAGCTAAGACTCACAGATTGTCGAGGCTCCTGGACCATATTTGTACTTGGTGCCATACAGCGAGGCAAGTTCATTTGCAGCAGCTTTAACCACGGAATTCTGCAAAAGAATCCACAAGAAATAAGTAAACAAACACACAGGAACACACACTGTCAAACAACACAATCCTATACCTCAATTTCAAGACATTGAAGGTGTTTATTTCACACTTGAGTTAGTGTTTTATACTAACACAGTCACCATTCTAATTTTTCTAGCTACCTTAGTCACACAATATAAATAATTCTTGCTCAAGAATGTATTCTATGAAGCCCTCCACAAATACTCAGTCTGAAATTTCTGTCTTGCTTCTGCACTTTGTAAAAAGAAAAATAGAAGTCAAGGAAATCTTGATGGTTATGCCCAGAGTTTGGCTTGAGACACACAGACACCAAACCAAACCAAACAAACAGCAGTTGGTAATGTGGAAGGTATAAGGCCAGCACTGAGTCATGTCAGGATTGAGGGAATCAGGACAAGTGTGTTAGAAGCACACAGATGAAGGATGGGGAGTCTGTCCAACATTCAGCGCCAGTCTGGAAATGCTTACAGCTGGCAGTCCCAAGGATGAGTGGTTGGTCCAGGTTGGAAGACTTTTAGACTGAAAAACTAGAGAACACTTGTTCTGTTTCACTATGCTGAACATTTGAATTCCAGGATAAAGTAGTAAGGATTAACATGCCTATTTTTTTTTCTTAGAAGCAGCATCACCTTCTCATCAGAACATTGCCCCAGCTTCCTGCACACGAATCCTCAAGGAAGTGGGTACTCTGCACCCAGATATAACTTTATTGATGTTCCTTTCTATCCATTTTAATAAGGACTTGAAAAGCAAGACCTGATTCAGCTTCCCAGGGAACACACAAATCTGAAAACTGATTTTTTGCTACAGCAGAAGTAGCTATAATTCATTCTAGTTATGAAACTTGCTATATTTCATACTTTGGCATCATAATTATTTCTTGTACATATGTTTGGAAGACTATGAGGTTGGTGATGAAATCAGAATAATCTGAGCTTTATGAAGTGAGAACTTTTATTCCTTATTCTAATATTAAAACAGGTTAGTAGAGTCTTATGTAAAACTGATGAAGTATAATTTTAAGACTTCAGAGATTCAGTTTTTAAGGCATTACTGCTCCATCAGTCAGGTGGGACATTGGAAAATCTAAAAGGAGTTATACATGATTTTTCTGTTTTGTCTCATTGAAATGATGCAACTAGTTCCCTGGAACTAATTTCTTATTTTCAGAGTTTTGTGTCAATAATTTGAAATGTTAAGGTTCTGTTTCTCAATTTCTGGGCTGTTAAGGTAAGATATGCTTTTCTCTTGTTATCTACATATATCACTCTTGTTTTACCTTATTTTAACCAAGCTGATTGTCCTGGGTCCTTTCTTGAGTCCTCAGTATAAGCCCTATTATTGACTGAAATGGGAATAATCTTAAAAGATTTCATAATGTTAACAGTATTTTGTTTTACTAGTCTATAATTTCTTGCATTTGTCAAAGGAAATTTCTGGTCAGTTATTTTCCTGTACCACAAAGTCTCTGGTCCCAAAGAACTCCTATCCCTTCCCTAGATCCCTCCCTTAGATTTCACTTCTCTTTCTTTAAACTTAGAATTATAAATTTTAGCTAGTAGAAGTACAGTTCTTCAGAATCAGTTCCAAATGTGGACAGTCCCAGAGGTGAAGTTATAAAGAAAAGTTATGTGGAAAATTTACTAGTCATTGTCATTATCTGTTAAACTCATGCCTCTGTTGTCCTTCTAGTCTTTCAATGTATTTATTGATGTTATGTAATGATTAAATTTTTAGTCCAAACTGAGCGGGTCTACTCATGATATGTTATCTTCTTTGGCGTATCAATTTATCAATGTGGACATGACTACCATTAGGGCAACACACACACACAAAGTTCTGTTGGTTTTCCTTCAAACCACGCTGTGGGCATGGTTTCCAAGCCCTCAGACACATCTATCATCTGGAAACGGTTGCTCTGTCTTTGATGCTGACGATTGATGTTAGCTTTAAAAGGGCAGTAATCTTATTCCTGTCATGACACACTCTGAAGGAACATTTAGTTTGTTCCTCACTGTCTGCTTCCTTCTCAGCTCTCATCTTGCTGTCTACCTATTGCTCATCTTCTGAGGGTCACTCACCATCTTATCTTCAGTGGCTCTATTGCTTTGTATGAACGTGGCATTCTCCTCTTCCAGTAAAAGCAGCCTTTTCTCTCGAGCCATGCTCCTTGTGCAGTCTTATATTACCTTTGAGTAGATTTTCTTAAAGTCTTTCCCATTCCATCTCTCCCTCTTCCCCTTACCTCCATTAGTTTGGGAGACCTTCTTTCCCCCTGGAATCATCTTTTCTTTTCTGCTTACATGGAAGATTTTCGTTGGTACTTCAAATTCACTTAGAGCACTATCCTCTTTGTGAATCTGTCCCTAACTCTTTAAAGGCACAGGACCTCCTTTCTTTGTGGATAGTCACACTCTGTGTTTTAAAGAGTTGTTTGTGCTTGCATCTACTTTCCCTAAGGGAGCTCTTTGTGAGAAGGGATTCTTGGCTAATCGTTTTGTATCTGCAGTGGATTGCTGAGCATCTAGCAATGGTTGGTTGACTGAGCCCTATTCTGGGGCTTTTGGGGCATTATAAAGAAGAAGGATTTGGATGAGGATGCAGAGTGCTGAGCACCACAAAGGCTGAGGTGTGATCCACCAGAGTAGAGACTAGAGATACTATTAGAGAGGGCAGCTATGATGGTGGATGGGTTGCTACATTTAGACATTTCATATTCTGTGCACTTTACTTTTATTAATTAAAAAAAGAGGTCTGTGGACCCTTTCTCTGAGCCTCTCCAAAGCCAAGAGGCCAAAAAGAACAGACATCAATCAACGAAAATAGCATACTTAAAATTCCAATTATCTTGACAAAAATCCCTGGAATCAGTGTGGGTCTATTCTTGTGAAGAGTTTAAATAATTTCACAAATGTTACTCATTTATCTTCCCAACATTATCTGTCCACATTTCATCACCCTAGAATTTTCTAGCAGAATGGAATGCCACGTGAGGCAGCCAGCTAAGGAATCTTACGATCAAGTTGGATTGATCCTTGCCAGGAATGAGATAGAGAAAAGCAATGCTTTCTTTGCTAAAGTGTTAATAATGGTAACTCTTTTCCCTGCACATATCTGTGGAAAGGGACTAAGATGACAGAAGATGCAAGAGCTACCCCACAGCAGAGAGCATGGGGCACACCCTGAAACTCCAGTTGGTTCTTTCTCTGGGAGAACCATTAGAGGAACAAATCTTACTTTCTCGTTCAGCATGTTCAAAATAAGAACTAACATTTACATAAAACCTTATACTTTGCAAAGAGCTCTTGATAAGCACTAGATATTTTTATCCCCATTTTACAGATAAAAGAACCAAAACTCAGAGATGATAAAAGATCTTGCCCAAGGGCACACAGCCTTCTAAGTGCTAACTTGAGCTAGGTTCCTCTTCTTTTAAATTCTGTGCTCTTTTTCACTTCTCCTTGTGGCCTTCAAATACTTCAAAAGAAGTGTTGCTGGAGCTGGCTTTACCCAATTGTAAAGAACAGAAGGAAGCTAAATATAAATCAGCCTCACAGCAAACTTTGCTTTCAGTCAAGGCCAAACATGGCCAGCCTTTATTAATCCTTAGATATGAATTTCCTACCACATCTTATGCATGTTCTCTTTTGTTATCTGTTTCCTTAAAAAGAGGCCTTGGTCCTACAGCAAAAGACAGAGAGAATCTAAAATGTCACATCCAGCTCAAAGCCCAAGAGACAAAGGACAAAGCCATGTAATGTTTCCCAGGCCTGGGCTCCAGGGGCCTGGTGAGATGAATAAGCCCAGGGCGTTCTTTTCTGATGACCTTCATTCCCAGGTACCGTGAGATAATGTAGCCCTGTCTCATGACGGTGCACAGTCTTCATTCCACCCTCCGTGCACACTGCCTGCCCCATGACAGGGGGCTGCCCTTTCTCATCTTCTAGCCATCCATTATTACCATATAGGGAAAAAAAGCCTCCAACCCACTAGGAGGCATTGCACCATTCAAAGGAAATTTTCTTCAGAAGTTTGTTTCTAACTTGAAGCACAGTTTAACCATCCCTGTGGGTGAATGCATGTGATAATGGAAGCCTCAAAATGATCTTTAACTGCAATTTCCTTCCTTGTGTCCTGTGACAATGTGTGACTTACACCCAGGGACCAATGAGAAATTTAACTGTTATAATTTTGGTGCAAAAGGGAGCAGCTCTAAAAGTCTACAAGCAGGCACGGAGAAGAAAGCCCTCAGAACGGGAAATAACAAACAAGTTTTTATCCGGGAAAGACTTGATTGGGGAGCTTTAGGCAGTGCCTACAAGGAGTGCCAGAACACTTTCGCTGACATAAACTGGTGTTTTCCCTTGGCTGATCTGTGTACATATTCTTCAGCTCTTTAAAATTCAAGGGAGATGTGAAGCATGAGTCAGCTGAACTTGCAGTCCAGCAATTTGGTTTTGGGTGAAAGTTGTGTTTCTCCCAAATAAACTTAAAAAAATAAAAACTATGTAGTGGGGCTGTGCCAGTTTCTGGCTCTTGAGGTTTTCAGAACAATGCGTGCTATTTTTGAGGGGGCTATAAGGTGTCATGAAAGCCAAGAGCCCTTGGCAGAGAATATGACAGCTCTTATCTGTGTTTCAGGCAGGGTTTCTCAACCTCAGCTCTCTTGCCGTTTCAAGTTGGATGAGTCTTGGTTGAATGTGGGACTGTCCTGTGTGCCGTTGGCTGTTTATCAAATTTCCTTGCCTCTACCCGCTGGGTGCCAATCAAAAATGTTTCTCAAACACTGCTAACTGTCCTTTGGGGTAAGTTTGGGGGGGGGAATTAATGGAAAAGAAAGTAAAATAAAAGATATTAGGGAAAACATGAGTTTACTTGTGCAAAAATGTTAAAAAGGGAGACAAGTGGGTTTTAATGGTGCTCAGAACGCCTGCTCCTTGGTTGGGGACATTCTAGCTGCCTCTTGAGCATCTGTAATAGCCAGTCTCCCTCCAATGATGCTTTACCAGTAGGGTTATCAGATTCAGCAAAAGCAAAAACAAGATGCATCGTTAAATTTATATTTTGATAAACAGCAATATGTTTTCAGCATAAGTTTGCTCCAGGAAATATTTGGGACATGCAGGAAAAATTATTTGTCTGAAATTAAAATTAAACTGGGAGTCCTATATTGAATCAGACCATTCCATACACTGGTTACTGGCTCTAAGACCTGCTGTGGCACAGGATTTGCTCTGATACTCAAGTGCCTCCACAGCCTGGTCATCTTATTGCCCAAAGCTCACTTCCCCATCAGGGTGACACAAAGCAGGTCCATCCCTTTCTTTTCCCTCCTCAAGTCCATGTTCGAGTCCTGCTCTTGCACATTTGTTGGCTCCTTTCTCAGGCCAACATGCCCTGTTCCTTTCTCTGCCATCCAAATCCTGCCCAGACTTCAGGGCTTAGAACAAATGTCACTCCTCTGTGTTACCTTCCTTGGATACCTTCAGCACACACAGCCGTTTCTCTATCGTACAGTTGTGTGCAATTAAAAATCCCCAGTTCTCTCTTTTTCTTGGATAGCTTCTGATATCTAGAGTTTATAATTTCAGTAAGATCCTAAGGTCTCAGTGGTAGGGACCATGGTTTATGATGAGCGCTTATTAGATACTCAGTGACATTTCTGATGATTGCCTGATAAGTGCTGCACGGACCAGGCTCAGCAGGAAAACCTTATCAGGGCAAGAAGTCATTCAGCATATATAATGGTACGTCAGTAACCAGATCTTTAATCAAAGACATTCTGCTGATTCATTTAAAACTTTTCATCTTTTATGTGAAATTATAAATAATAAGAAAACTCCTGAAGCAGATATTTTATTCCCCTTAGAAACTGGAAACTTGCATGACAGGGTGACTGGCTTTGTTACACTAGTTATTAGGCAGGAACATGGTGACAGCTGCGGTGGGTGTGCACCTGTCCTGCAACTGTCTCCTCCTAATCAAGCTACTTTTTTCCCTCGGATTTATGTATTTATTTCTACTTGTGGCTTTGGTTTATGTTCACATGCCGGGGTGGAGCAATGGGTTTGTGTCTCGGTGTCTCCTTAACTAAACCTTAAAGTAAAATGTACTGCTGCTCGTGCACTGGAAGATTACACTTTAGAAGTGGATTTATTCCTTTTGACTATGTTTAATGCTCTTTCAGGAAGATTATTCAATATCCTCTAGTTATCAATACCTTTCTTCTGGCTAATTAATATGTACTTATTGAAAGGATGGGCCAGAATCACATTCTCCATCCATGAGTAATATAGAGGCATTTGTACTCTAGATTAAGACAAGTTTTTTCCCTTGTGGTAATGATGATCACAAATAAAAACTATGACAATTCCTATATCTGTTTATCTATCTATCTATCTATCTATCTATCTATCTATCTATCGGCATATATATTCAAGTTCTCCCTTGTTACATATATATTTGAAATTATACTACAGTTCAAGTTTGTTCTAGAAAAATGTGCTTTTATGTAAGTGAATTAAAATGATGCAAAAAGTATGCAAAAAATCTTTAGTTACTCAGAAGATTAAAGTTGCTCTGGGTTTCAAAATAAATCCAGATATTGAATGAATCAATTCAAATAGGATTCACTCTGGGTTTTACTAATGTCAGATATTTTAAGAAAGGAAAAAGTTTAATCACAGAAAAAATATTGGAAATTAAAGTAAGTTTTATATCAATAAAGATACAATTTTAATTGTTTTACATTTTAGTCACTTGTCTTATGCTCTGGAAAAGGTAAGAAATGACATCACTTTGTCTTGAATTTACTAGTTTTTTGAGTATTAAAATAAGCACTCAAGGTAAAATTATTTTGAGGCTTGTATTTTTTCTCTTTGAAGAATAGATTATGAGTATTTTGTTTCAATAGAATTGTTCAATCCATTTCTTTTTTAATTAGACTTTTAAAATAATTTTGGAGGACAGAATTTTGAATACTACAGCTTTTTGTATCACCCTGACTTTAAACGAAGAAACGGTTCTCAAAGGGCACCGTGGTTCATAACCTGTTGGAGCACTTTCCCACCACTTAGGGCACAAGCAAATGGGTCCATTAAATTCATTAATCCCAAGTCTCGGATATTTTCCTAGATAAATTCCCACAGGAAGTAACAAAAGTTATTCACAAGATTCCAAAGGCAAAACTCACTTGATTCCTCTGTAACTATGGTTTGAAGACTTTTGAGAGAAGTTCAGTTTCTAGGTTATTGTATGCAGAAATGGACACAAAATTATTTCATCACTAAAAGGGCTTCAACATACTCTCCAAATAAGAAAAGGTACTGAGCCTTTATGGAAGTGGATATATTTTCAGTTCGTATTAGGCTTTAATATTTTTATAGCTAAGAGTAGTAGATATCGAGCAGATGGGAAATATTTATTACTGATGTGTTTTATACTTTCAGTTTTGTATTTAATAATTCATTAGTGCTCAGATATTAGGATTTTGTTTTTTCTTCTTTGATATGGTATAATTCAAATATTTTCACATGAATTAAGCACATGCTCCAACCTTGTCATTTCTGGTGACCAGAAATCTAGGACAGAAACCAGAGCCAACACTTAAAGAAGAGGAAACGTAACTGGAAAACTGAATATTTAGTAGTTCTTGTTTGTTTTTGACTTAGGATAGGGAAAATTAGAAGCTTTCTGAAATTTTTCAAAAGATGCGGTCACCTATGAGCAATCAGTTTTCTAGAAGACAGTTGTTGCTCTGTTTTGCTCTTTTGTGCAACATCTTTACAGCATGACATGTTTTATTTGGTCTCTGAGAGACTGAATCTGAAAGTGCAAAATAAAAATTTCCAGTTTTTAAAGTTACTGGGTCTTCAGATTCAGGTAAGCCAAATATCTGTGTCATTGTCTAAGTGGAATACTTTATTTTCTATTGTGCAATTCAAATGCTTTAAGTCTTAGGCTAGCTCTTTTAAATCACTTATCTCAAGGTCTGGCAGCCAGATGTTTCATAAATTTAAAAAAAGTCATTTAAAGGATTCAAAATCATTTAAAAAGAATTTATGCACTGATGCATTATATTTATTAATATGACTTCTTATAAAAACAAAACATTTAATTTCTCATATGATTATATCTTAGTTGTCCAACAAGACTACTAGTTTTTAGTTTCAGGTAAATTTAAAGAATTTTTTTGTATTATTCCCCATATATGGAAATACTCGTTCAGATAATTTGTTCATTGATTGATTACTTTTGTGTCTCACTTAGTCAAACTACAGAAATAAGCAATTTTAGGATCTCATTGCTAAACCTGGTATCAACCAAATGTTCCTAAAGACATCTGCCATATTCTGAACTCTGTCAAATCCAGCTCTAGTCAACTTGACGAAATTGACTATGACAAAGGTTATACTTAGGGGAAAGTAACTTTGTCGATTATCCTAAACATATCTGAAGTCATCCTTTGACTGTGGTGAAGACAGAGGAAATGGGAGAACTGCCGTTCTGAAGATGAGTAAAGAAACCGCATGTAAGGAAGTGCTCTCTGCACCGAATCTCATTTCTTTTAGCCAAATTATCCAGCCAACTCCAGATTCACTATAAATGCACAATTTTCCCCACTTCTACTACCTAAACCAATGAAAGAACTTTCAAAACTGTTATTGCAATTTTTCTCTTCAGGATTAGAATGAAATGAGACCACCTCAGCAGTGAGATGCACTGTCCACTGCCGGTCTACTTACCAGCTCTGCATTGTTGCTGGGCAGTTTGTAGGAATAGGAGTACGGGTAGAGCAGCAGCTGGGAGTACGAGTGGACTGTCAAGTATGCCTTGATGGAAGAGAGGTTCTTCTGGATGAAATTAGTTAGAGCTTTGGTTTCCTTTTCAGACTCTGCGGTGGGTCCGCAATAAGTGTCAGAGCAGGGGTCTTTAGAAGCTCCAGTTTCTGGGTAAAAAAATATTAGGAAGTTAAAAATCAATTGTTCTCAAAGGAGTCCTTGTAGTTATCCCTCCCTGTACATGTTTAGCCCAAGATTAGGATGGTATATTTTTAGGATGACGTGATAAAAAGCCACACATGACATCACCCATGTGGCCCTGTGCAGTCTTACACCATGGGATCGATATAATGTAAGACAATGGATAAGGTCAAGACTAATATTATGATAATTTTTAAAAATTTTGTTTTTTTAAATTTTATTTAGTAATTTTTTCTTTTGGTTGTTTGCAGTGTATAGGGTTTCTACTCCTTGTGCGTAGTGTATATACATGTAGATAAGACATCTTTTTTCCTTTTTTCAATCCCTTTCCATTTTCCCACCTTTCATCTCTCTCCACCTTTTGATCCCCTCCCCGTTTGAAAAGATCTAATAGGAAGATCTGATAGGAAGATCTGCTTCCTATTATCTCTTATTTTGCCTTTTATTTATACTTTGGGTTTCTCATATAAGAAAAATCAATGGAATATTTAAGTTTATGGGTCTGATTTATTCCCCTTTATATTATGGTCTCAAGGTTCATACATTTTCCTGCAAATAACTCAAATTCATCCTTCTTTCTGGTAGAGGATGGCCTTCTGTAGAAATTCACTAAACTCTCTAGACTGGATTAGTAGTTTGTTTTGTGCAATATTAAGACTCTAAAATCTAACACAACTGGGAAAATAAAAGAATGATTGATATATTTTTGTCAAGTGAGTTTATAAACAACTTATTGTCTGTGCTTTTAGAAGATTAGAACTCTAATATATAAATTCCTCACCGTCTTTCTTGTTTTAGTGACTGATAGGTTTTCTTATGTTATTTTCCCTCTTATGATTTTGAAGTGATGTGTGCAAAATAGCCAGATACTTACCACACCAACCAGCTTTAAAGTTTCTGTTGGGGTCTACACCACGACAGGAGCTTCCGGTCCGTGAAGAGCGGGTCTTTCTCCACATTCGACTCTGAAAGAGGATACTATGATGAGAACATGTGCTATAAAAAGTTGTTGGTTTAACTGTTACCAGTTGTTCTCAATAGTGGTTTGTATACCTTGGTCCAGGAGTACACGTAGCCATCAACATTGAACACGGGCAGGACGTAGAAGTCTAATTTGTCAAGCAGCTTTGTCATCTGAGCCTCCTGCCCATAGGTGCGGACGGCCTGTATGTGAATTACAAAGCAGAATTCTAGTCAAAATTCACACAGTCTGGATAGATGTCGAGTCTCACAGTGAAAGCAGTGTTCCCTAGTGATGTGGTCAAAGTTAACAATAATAAAATGACATGCAAACTATCAGGTTTTTGTTGTTATTTGTTTAAAACTACTGTTTCTCATTCTCCTCTGCTTCCTGGACACTTCTGTTTCATTCATATATAACTCATAAAGTTATTAGTTTTATTTTAACTTTTTCTTGAAAGATTTAGCAACATGAAAGACTTAAAAAATTTCCCTCGGGATAGCAACTGCAATAATTTGTTATCAGAGAGTGAGAACTAATGCTAGGAAGTGAGGAATGTCTATAGGTGACTATGACTGTTCCTTAAACTCATCTAGAGATTTATCTATTACCCTTAAAACTTCCTAACATTTTCTTATTAAAGGAAAATATGGAAGGAAAATGAGAATGTCTCTTCTTAAAAAGTCATTAGTGGATTTTGAGAAGACTCTTACAAATGTCAATTGCTTAATGAATGGAGGTCTCCTCTTTTTCCTCTTCTAGAGAAAAGAATCCCACTGATGAGCCAGTTCTCATGATTAAGCAATGTGAACCCTGAACTACGAATGAAGGACATTACGCTCATTTAATATATTCTCTTAATCACATGCTCTCTGCCCCAGCATCATATTAAATTTAAATTCCTTGGGCTTGTTTGAATAAACTTGAAAATATATGATTTCTATGTATGAGTGATGCTGATGTACTTTTTGTAACTATCTACAAAGAGTGTATTTTCTTCACTGTACGTTTTGCCTTTTAATTAATATATTTTATACCAATACTTTGTAACTTCACAAATGTCCTGCTTTTTCTTAAACATTTACTCACTTATTTTTGTATTACTCTGTTGGATTTTTCTGAAACAGCATTCTAAAAATGATTTTATATTTTGTTCATTCTTTCCACAAACTTTAGTTATATTTTTTCTGCACATAAGTTATTTCTTCTCTCCTATTTATTTATTTGTTAATTGAATTATCTATTTAAAATTTTTATTTTTAAAGTTTGTTAGGAGATCATGTTCAAGTTGGTATTCATCCACAACCATTAATTTTTAAATGACCAATCCACCATACTAACTGTTAGCCTAACAGAGGTGAATTTAAAATTTCAGATGAGGGAAATTCAGATAAATACATATTTTTAATCTTAAAATCGTTGTTTACACAATATGATGGTAAAAGTTGAAACCAATTTCCAAATATAAGGATTTGGAATTGTGGTTTTTTTCTGCATTATTTTCTCTTATTTTAGGTTATAAGGCACCAATTAAAATTAAAAATACTTTCTACTTCCTTTGCCCAAAAAGCATTGTACTGACCTCTTTCACAAACCACTGGCAAAAAGCAGGAGAAATCCATTCTCTTGCATGGAAACCACAATCTATGAAAACAGCAGGCTTATTTGAGCTAGCTTTGCCAACCTATAGTAAACAAAAGAAAAAGAGAAGTCGTGATCCATCTCATGCCACTCAGGGTCAACATTCACTATCCTTCTGGGCTTTGGACTCAACAGGTGAAACCTGACAACACCGAGTCATATATCCTGTGATTAAATTAAAGCACAGTACTAGCACAGTGTGTTCTTGCCTCTAGACACTTACAATGGTTGAGCTGAAAGCTTACATGGCTGTTTATTATTTTTATTAAGCTTGAAAAGCTTATATTTCTAGAAGATGCTTGATTACCCTGCTTAATTATACTCACGTGGAGGTTATTTTCAGTTGCTATTATTAGGTGACATGACCAAGACAACTGGATGAGTAATTAGAAGTAATCATGAGTCTTGCTAATCTTCTAAGAATTTTTCCTTCTCTCTACTTCTTTATCTTTTTGTTCCCTTCATTAGAATTACATGACAAAAATGACATCAGAGGCTGACAGAAACAAATTGTTGATACGCTTTGTAGTGTTTTCTGATAGACATGAAGTTTATGAACCTCTTTAGCAAATGAATTTGCAAACAACAGCTGGGAGTGAAGAATTTCATCAAGGTAGATGATCATTTACGTTGCTTACAGGAATGTGGTTAAATTTATAGTACTTCTTTTATTGCATTTTCTTTTTGAATAAATCAAAATAATGATTTAAAATTTCACATATGATAAAAGAAGCTGGGGAATCTGTTTGACTCCCTAGGGGATGCAGGCAGGAAGAATTATGCCAGTGTTTGGGATAAGCATGTTGTCTGTGAAACAGATGTTAATGCATTAGCATTCGTTGATTTAAAGCCTTCAGACATGGTAAGGTCAAGATTAAGAATAATTACCTTGAGGAGGTACATTGAACGTCCTTCAAATGTGGTTCCGATGACGCTGCGAGAAATGAGACTTGGATTCTGAGCAGCAATTTCTTTAGTCCAGGCCTCTATCTACCAAAGGGAATGATTTGTGGATTAATGTGATATTCTTGGCTCCATTCCCAAAGCAATGTCTGTCAAAACCACGTGTACAAGGTACCGTTTCCCAGTTGTTGTACTTGGTATAACTGTGTCCAGCTGCACGGCTGTGGCTGTCAAACTGAGCGTCCATTGCACTTCTCAGGTTGTTTATCAGTACCCTACAATGAACCAAAGTGGATGCTCCTAAGGACATGAACATATCTCCCCCACCCCGTCATCACATGTGAAACCACAGAGTCACTGCTTCAGTAATGGTACCATGCATTCTCCAAGGAGTCCTTTGATTGCTCCTGGTGCTCTTCAGTCAGAGTTTTGTTACCAGTTATAAGGAGTAAGACTGAGGACACTGGAGGATGTGCACTAGGCCGGCTCTTCTTCAGCCCAAACTTTACATCTTTGGGTGTCTTTGGTCCCCTGATACCTGGGCATCCTGGGTCAGGGTACTGGGTGCCCAAATACCAGGATGTACTTGAGGCCTGTCTATGTCATTTGTATGTTTTAGCACTATGCTCCAGAAACCTACTCGGCTCCAGATAAACAGAATCCATTGTTTAATCTAGGTTTTGAGAGACATTTTTTTTTGTTCCTGGAAAGTGAGAATTATTAACAAGCTAAAAATTAATTAGGTAAAAGAATACTAATTTTAAAGAACTAGTTTCTATGTGCATATTTGGCAGGTTTAAGTAGTTTAATAGTAATTTGGTATCAAGGTAATATGAAAATTGGCAATACAATGTTTGAAGCTGGTCTCTTCTTATAAATGCATGGTGCTTCTGAAAGTTGCAATTCAAAGAAGCAGGCCTGTGTGTGTGTGTGTGTGTGTGCATGCATGGTGTGCTTGTGTGTGTGTGCATGCGTGGTGTGCTTGTGTGTGTGTGTGTGTGTGTGTGTGTGTGTGTGTGTGTGTGTGTGTTCATTCATTTTCCTTTGGTACTCTGAGTGGAAATTGGGTTTGGAAGGAACACAGTTTAATGATCATTACTGTCCTCGATCAGAGTCCTATGAACATTTACAGACAGAGACCAGTTTGCAGAGCCTTCCATTATGCCCAGTAAGCCTTGAGACGGTTTTATCTGACAGAGAATTGTAGACACACATCAAAAGTCTGCTTTTCTTCTGCTGCCCCAAGGGCATTCTGATGAAGTCTGTCAGGAACTTCCTCTGAACCTACCTTCTAGTTGCTCCTTCGTGTGGTGAAGTTGGTTGTCAACTTGTGTCTATTTATGGAAAATGTAATATATTAGTACTAAATGGTATCTGCTTCATTGTGAACGGAAAATACTGTCTTGAGGATTTAATTGCCTTAAGATAATACTGTATCAAAAAATGAAAAGGATCAGATCTTACAACTATTCTATGAAAAGTAAACTTTCCTTTGGACAGTTGTAACTTTTTGTTTGTATATTCATTTTTATGGCTTCTTAAATTACCACAAACTTAGAGGCTTAAGCCAACACTCATTGATTATTTTATAGTTCTGTAGGTTAGAAGTCCAGTACAGGTTGCAATGAACTGAAAGCAAACTGTCAACAAGAATGTGTTCCTTTCTGGAGTTTTTAGGGAGAACCTGATTTGCTGGAGCCTTCTGCAGCTCCTAGAAGCTCCTTGCATGTTCTGACTGTGGCCCTCTTCCTCTGTCTTCAAAGCTAACAACGGTGAATCACATTGTCACATCCACTTTGCTTCTTCTTCTACTTTCTACTTTTAAGGACTTACATGGTTCCCCTGGACTATCAGGCTTACCCAGAGCAGTCTTCCTATTTTAGGTCAACTGGTTAGGAACCATAAGCCGTCTATTACCTTAATTTCTCTTAGTGAGATACTGTAACATAGTCGGACATACTGGGGATTTAACATCTTTGGGGGACATCATTCTACCTATTACAGTTAGAAATGATGATTAGAGTAAGTGCCATAACTGTATTCTATACCGGAATTAGGTGATTAGGATAGAGGGTGCAGTGAGAAGAAATCTTAAATTAAGAATAAAAAGATCAAAGTTATAGTTTGACTAAAGTAATTAACTGACCTTTGAAAAGTGATTTTTACTCTCTGGGCCTTAATTTAATAAGTTTTATAATGGGAATATTTGAGTAGTGGATACTTAATGTCTTTTTGAATTTTAAAGTACAGTGATGTGACTCAGTTCACAAGGCTTAGTCATTTACAGGATGTTTTCTGTGACATATAAATTTCTTTTTGACCAATTACCACCTTTTTTTTACTCTAAGAAAAGTGCAGGAAATTAAAGCTTAGAATAGAGGTGGTTTAGGGAAAATACATAAACAGAAAACAAAGCAAACAGAATGAAAACTCCTGAAACTTGGAAAAAATCAAATGGAAGAAAATAACTATATTCCAGTATCATTAATTTGAAACATCATCCTAACAAGTATAAACTTCTCCAAGTGAATAACAAAAGAAGAAACGGGAGAGAGAGAGAGAGAGAGAGAGAGAGAGAGAGAGAGAGAGAGAGAGAGAGAGAGAAGAGACACATGCTTTAACTAAATTTTCCATTGTCAGTGATTAAGCAAAATAACATTTAGGTCATACGGCTTCTATATGGGTGCTCAGAGAAAAGATATTAGTCAGTGATGCCAGGCATTCACATCCTTAAGACTTTTAGTAGATACTGTGTATAAGGCTGTATCAATAGTTATTTCTGACCTGTCAAGTGCCAGTTTGAGGCAGCGGTGGAGAGCAAAACGTCCAGATCTATCTCTGTTTTTTCACTGCACTAAACTCTCACTGACCAGTCGATGAGCACACAGGGGCTAGTATGGTTTTTGGCACTAGGCAGATACATTCTGTTAAAGTTATTACTTTGCTAAATAGTAAACATTTCCATCAATAACCAGAACAAAGAAGCATTAAAACAACTGTTAAATTCAAGATGACACCCAAGAGTAAAAGTATTCTTTAGTAACTTGTGAAAGAACATCAAAATGAGGTTGAAATGCGGTGCTAACTTTTGCCTGAAGACAGGGGATTGACCTCAAATGATCCTTTCCAGCCTCATGATTATTTGATTGTATTAGATTTAGGACAAAGCACTACTGTAGCTGTATAACAAAATATTATTATTAAATCATGAGCTACTATTGTAGAAGATTAAAACAATGCCTCTTAATATAATAGGGACCACATTACAGCTCCAGAAGAGAGAAGCGTGTGCACTATTTTTTATTTTTATATGCACTTTTTATAATGCCATCCAACTTCTTTTTCTCCCTTTTTAAAATATGCAAGAAAATTATATGACTGTGACTCCCAACAAAACAAGTAACACAATGTCTGAGAAGGAAAGGAAGAAATGACTCAATTTTACCTCTCCTTCAGATTCTGGAAAGCAGAACATTTGTTAAGTTCCTGAACTATGCATTCATCCCTACTGAAGAAGACCACTATGTGCCCACTGCTGTCCGAGAACACTTTCCTGACTCTGAAACGTGCAGAAAAATCTGATCGGTACCAATCTCATAGGTGGTGAACAACAGTTGGTATATCCCTGGATTGTACAGGGAAAAGGCAAACTTCTTGAATGTGTAGCAGAGAATTCTGTGAAGGGCTGCCCACCAGTGGGTTCTGTGAACTTAACTTTAAATCATAAGTCGAGATTCACATTATCCAATTCCTAGTCTTCCCCGTATAAGGGTGCAACCGAGGCATATAAAACCATAGTTTCCTTCTTACAAGCACTTTGCATTTTTTGCATGATATTTAAGGATTTGGCTAAAATAATACAAGTTTTGCTGAAGAGGATAGGATCCATCAAAGAAATCTAAAAAGCTACATAGGTGGAATGTGCAGCGTGCACACATGCGGTTATATGCAAACACAAGTGCAAGTCCTTGCCAGCAGGAAACCATCTAAATACACATTTGTTACCCTATGAAGTAATAATGAGATGCACAGGGACTCCTTGCAACCCAGCAAGGATATTACTGGAGTACTTCTCCACAATTTCCAGGGACTTATTATTATTTAATATTTAGAAAATTACATGCTGCAATTGTGCTCAGCAGTGAATAGAAAAACAAAAATTAACAAGATCTTAGCCCTCAAGGAACACCCTATGTTCTGGGGAAGACAACATTCATCCATAATTCCCTGAAGTTTAATACTAAAAAAATGAAATAAATTTTCTGTTTAATAGAGTAGATGGAGATGGAGGTGGGATCAGAAGCTATTTTACTGTTTTGTGGTGTAAGTAGAATTGTGACATAATTCAGGTGTTAATATTAGTCTCTTCCTTGATCTTCCTATGATCTCCCTTCATTTTTCCTTAAAAAATTCTAAAGAAATCTCATGTTTCTGAATGATACTGAGGTTCTTAAAAGCTAGGATTTTATAATTCTTTCCTATCTAATAAGAGCAAAATGTCATAGACATGAATCTTAATCACATTTTGAAACTTACTAGGTTGCATTTTTGTTTTAAAAAGACACTTGATTCTAAGGGTTATATTTTGACACTTCCCTCAGGCAGAAGCAGATAGGGAAGCTAGATGAGGCATGATAATGGGGTCAAACATAACGGTTTTGCTCATCCTTAAAAAAGAGGAATTCTTTGTATGGTAGGAAGCTATGGCATCATTCTCAGTGATAGTAATACCAGTTGCAACTTATTCACATACTATTTTATTTCATTTCCATTGCTGCCCTTGGGCATTATGTCTTTATTTTGGATAAGAAAACTTCAGCACAGAAAGTGTAAGCAAATTACCCACTGTCTCACACCCAGGAAGTTGCAAAACTGAGGTCAGAATTCAATCCAAGGCTTTTCCCAAAGCCTTTACTCCACGTGCTATGCTATCTCGTTTCTGATGGTGGTACAGATTTTACAGGGGGTGAGTCTGAGGGTGTTACTGGTATTAATACTGGTTTTCTGTATTACTGAGATGTGGAAACAATACAAAGTTTCTAATGTGAGAATTATAAAGGTCCATTTTCTCAAAACATAAAGAAGACCTATGAATATGGTAGGAGCTTTTTGGATGAATATTTGAACACTTGGACCTTGAAATTCACTTTGCTCCTCCCTGATCCACTTTTGGAGAAACAGCTCTGCTTTGTACTGAAGACCTTAGTTCTTGCATTCCTTTCTGCAAATCTCCCAGATTCTTTACCCCTCTAAGTCATGGCCTATGGTCCATTTTCTGTCTAGAGTGTGGTTTTTCCTTGACTTTGTCTGGCTAACCTCTACTTATCTGTCAGTTCTCAGGTGAAGCCTCATTTCATAAGGTAGACTTTCTTGACTGTTGGACTAAGTTGTTTGCTTCAACCTCAGTCTCTCTGCCCTTCCTAACATCTATTACACACTATTGAAATTTCTTATGTAAAGCCTACTTTTTCCTGCAGGAGGTGAGGCCATATCCATTCATTTTTAGTACTTGATACATATAGGCACAAAACATGTATTTGTTGGATCAATGATGGACAACTGTCTCTTAGGAAAGCATTGTCATCTTGGAGGATCTAGGTGGGCCAGTGTGGTATTTGGGGAAGAGCAGACATAGCAAATAGTATAATCAACTCTACTGTAGATCTTTGGGGGATCAGTTTTCTTTCTTGGGGTTCTATTCATCTTTTCTTCTACCAGCACAGATAGTGGTAGGATCTTGGGACAGGTCACTCAGATTGCTTCTAACCTTCTAAACTAAGGGGGCAGAAAGAGCCCTCTTGTCTCAGAACTGGTCAGACTACTCAGAAGGAATATTTGACAATATTTGGGGTTAAAAATGTCTGAGCTAGGTGTGGTGACATGACCCGTGCAAAGCCCAAGAAGGAGGATTGCAAATCCAAGTACAGCCTGGATAACTTAGTGACTTTGCAAGACCCATTTTCAAACACACACACACACACACACACACACACACACACACACACACACAGAGAGAGAGAGAGAGAGAGAGAGAGAGAGAGACATATTTGAATATTTAGCTCAGTGCACAGGCTCAGGGTTCAATACCAGGTACCACAAACAAAACGAAACAAAGTAAAACAAAAACATTTATATGTATGTAGTTGATAATAGAATGTTCAGTTGTTTGGCCTGCATTCATCTACAGCAATAACAGATCAGATTTCCAGCTAAAGAACTGCAGTTCATGAGTTAAACTCATTATCACAATCAAACACAAATTCACCAAGACAGAAGTCTTAAGTAATCTAAGACTAGTGCTGCCATTACCTCTTGGTGAGTCCATGGGGAAGGCCTGGTTTGGGGCTCACTTTTTCCTTCTCAGAGTTATTCGAAGGCTCAGACAAAAGCATGCGTGGGAGGGAATTCGTGGCTATGGAATATAAACTTACTCATAGTGCAGTTCATTGTGCTCCAGAAAGTCTTCCACAGTGAGAACATCTTCTGCTTTAACACGGAAGTCAACTGTGGTGTGAGGTTTGATTTGTGCGACAGAATCTGGCTTCCAGAAGTCAAGCTAAATAATTATCAAGGCATACTGTATTAGGTTTATATAATTCAATACAGGAACAATCTGTTAGCACAGTTATGCTATTCCGTTGAGTTATTTTCAAAACAAAATTACCCATGTGATCTCTTAAAAATATCTCCTTTGAGTGAACAAAGTTTGGGACCAAAAATTTAGATATCTATGAAAATGCTTACAAATACATATATAACATTAATTGATTACCAACAAGCATGAAGAGCATATCCTTGTTTTCTATAATACTAGTTAATAGCAGTGTTCTATAACTGCTCATTTCTATGTATTTATTTTCTGCAGTACTTGCTTGTGGTGGTAACAGTCTTTGACAATGGATACGTGTCTGAATGAATTCTAATGAATTAACTACAGCCAGCAAATGTGGCAAGAAACTGAGCTTTCCTTTTCCTTTAGAATTTATTTCATGAGTTTATCTTGGAACTTAATTCTGTACAGTGGTAATAATGTGTAGAACTAGGATCATCCTTGACCTGTGGAGGGTACATAGAAAGAAACAAGGTATCTTTCCACAGCAAATGTCTGGGCACCATGGCTAGAAAGAAAACACACTTGGGCATCCAGTAATATACTGACGTTTTCATTTATTTAGTTATTATCAGCTATTATGGTGGGCCTATTTTACAATGGTCTCTGTGCTTGAGATTATGGATGTTGTAGTAAGCATATGGAGCATGACCTCTGTCTCCATGGAAGAATTTTAGAGAAAATTAAATAACAAATAATAATTTTAGAGAAAATTAAATAAATAAAATAAACAAAATAACAATGTGACATATTTGATTTTTTTATGCATTTAATGGGAATATGTAGTTTTAACTATCCATCGCCCTCAAGAAACTATTAGCTAAAGTATACTGTCGCATGTAGGAGCATGCTTTCCTGATTTTTCCTTGAGCTGAGTAGAGGCCCAGAAGATTGGTGTGAGCCTGACATTGTGCCTTTCTTTGTCTCTGTGCTTCACCTAGTTTCTGGTTGGATGTCTGTAGGTTAGTCCTAGGCATGGCATGAAAATGATGGTGATGTTAGAACCTGGAAAGGAAGTTTGCGAAGACAAAAACTACAGAAGAAACTGAGATGGTAAGGCTTTAAGAGCATTTGATTTATATCTGTGGGCAATTATCATGGTTTATGTCTGTGTCCCCCAGGCCTCATGAGTTTGAATTGTGCATCTGTGATTCGTTCATTGTCTAGTGCTTGGATTGATGGTGTCAGTGCTCCACCCACAAAGGGGTGGAGCCAGGATGTGATGTAATGGCAGGAAGAAGGTGTGTCTTGCTCTTTGCTGGTTCCTGCTTGCTGTTTGCAGCCACCATGAAAGGCGGCCCAGCCATGCCTGCCTGCCTGGCAGCCAACTGAGTGTGGACTGAAACCTCCAAAAACTAAAGAAATAAACCTTTCCTTTCCCAACTTGGGCATCAGGTATTTTGTCTCAGCGATGAGTAAAAAATAACTAAGACAGCAATCTAGTAATCTTTATCCTGCCCTGATTTTGTCTTTATACAGCTGTAGAATTTCAGTGGGTTCTGGGCCATGGGTTAGGCCTAAAGAGAATCCCAGGCCAATTTCTATTCAAAAGAATTCCTGAAGCAAAGGGTGTGAATGTGGTTATCACCGGAGGGGTTGAAAGGAGAAAGTATTGATGGTTGAATAAGGATTAGTTGTAGCCCAGTGAACTAAGGATTACAGGACAAAGATGAGAGGTTATATGATAGAGAAGGAAGTACAAAGGCATGCCATGTTAAGAACAGAGGAAACAGAGGGTTGGAGATAAATTAGCCAATGCTGGGAAGAGAAAGGCAGTGAGGATGAAAATATTATAAGACAAAGTATATTTTTGAAAGTTAGATCTACATTTGTGTTCCTAATACGTTCCTCTCGGTCCAAGGTAATGAAGCAGAAGGAAGTGTGCCTTTTTCATAGATACAGAAATTTGGCACTAGTAAAGCACATCATGTCTCAAGGAGTTGGTCGCCCACCAGGACGGTGGCTACTTACCTGCACATAATCACTGGGACTTTCATATGCTCAGGGGACTCCTTGCTGCCCAGATTGACATTTCTTTCTTTCCTCTAGTACTGGGAAATGCCAATGTCAGCTCCAAGTTAGCAGGAGGTGCCAGTGATACAACTTTCGGTAGAGCTAGTCAACCAGTGACTCTGAGGAGTCGTCTAGGTTCTCCAACTCCAGAACTTGGAATAATTTTGAAATGTGTAGTTTGTACTCTTGGGAAGTTTCTCTGTGGAGTGAGCTGTGGAGTTTGTACTCTGTGGAGTTTCTCTGTGGACTGGCTCTGTGGTAGCCAGTTTTAAAAATGCTGCCCCTTTCCTATCTACCACGTTACTTCTTACTTTTTAAAATTTTCTTACCAGTGATACCTACATTCTCAAAAGAATCCTTTCTATCAAATGTTTGCCTCAGGGTTTGCTCTGAGTGGATCCCTGTTAAGATGCTAGCTTTCCAATCTGCATGATGTCTTTGGTGGTGGCTCTAAGGAGACCTTAAATATGATTCTATTTTTGATGTTAAATTGAAAATTGCTTTTTCTAATGACCTAAGCTCTTGCCCATTGTCCCTTGCTCTGCCAAATTGGAATACTGTAGGATTCTGCTGTAAGAATGGGTTCTTTAATGGGGCATGTTGAGGAAAGGTTGCAGACCTAATCTTAGGTTAAAAATTTCAGTTTGACAGGGAAACAATTGGTCAGTAAGTCTGTCAACGTCCAATGGTGTGGAGCATTGCAAGTGTGATGCAGACTCCAGTACATGGAATAGAAATACAGCTTGACATCAGGAATAACACTTGATCCTCTGAGCCTCTTGTTCACCAGGTATGGACACAAAGAAACTCAAAGCAATGACACAAGGAGATAATATGAACTTCAGGAATTACCAAGAATTTATAAATGAGATTAATATCAAAAATTTAGAAATGGGCTAAAATATATAAGAAACAGAGAATTGAATTGTATGTTAAGAAATGATGAAATTGAAGTTGTAAATGATAAATGCAGGACTAAGTGCACAGAACCATACAGAATGTTTATTGAATGATAGTGGGATATCACTAAGTGATAACTTCATGAGAACATAGACTTAATCAGCCAGGTGGGTAACAAGCACAGAATTTTTCCTAAACTATATCACAAAACCAGCACAAGAGCAAGATAAAGTAGTGTACAAACTTTAAATTCTTCCAGGAATAAGACTGGAGCATAAAAAAAATCAGTGTTGGAAATCTTTGGTTCTTCTCAAATTTATTATTTTTCATTTTGTATTTGAGTATGTCAAGCACCTCGCAGAGCTGTAATTTATCTTATAGACATTTGTCTTTGTTAGAAAAGGAAGCAACTTCTATTCTAGTTTTAATTTCAGACAGCAAGGAGAAAACTTGTGATGAAACCACAATGACCAGAACACAAGAAGACCACAACTATGTTACCAAAAACATTGAGAAAAACACATCCTAAATTCAGGGAAAACAGAATCCAAGAAAGTCCAGAGAAAACAGATTAGGTGTTACGATGACTGTCTCCAAAGTGAACTAGTGCAACCTTGATTGCAAAGAGATAAAATAAAATTCTTACTATACAATTATAGGTGAAGGAGAGGCTGCTGGAGTACAGTGTGGTCACAGATCTCTCCAATACACTCAGCTTTTAAAAGGACATGTTCAAAAGCTGGGAGGAAGGACACACGTCCAAGGATGAATACAAAGACTGGATGCCCTTGTGATGATCTTATCAGGAAGGCTACCGCTCAAAATATACTCATCCACACTATTGCTAAGCAGAATAAAAATCTTTTTATTTCATGTTGGAAATAATAAAAAAAAGAACACAACAACAGCGAAAAACCAATGTGTCCTCCTGTTGGAGCAAAAGCCCATGTCTGCAACTGAAGGAGAGAAAGTAGCCTTCGAACTCTTTTTTTTACTTCTATACTAAGGAAGAATTAATGCTATTGATTAGCATTGATTTTTCTACTTCTAATAGTAGATGAAATTACAATCAAGATAAAGAATTTTTCACATGTTGTTCAAGCAGAAATATTGCTTCAGGAAGAACATTGAGGCCCAAGGTAGGTGAAAAGGTGGGTAATTATACCAGCATGGAAATTATATTCAGAATCCCGTATCTAATGATAGAAATAAACAAATGCTTATAAGCTCTTCCTATTCAAATTATTTTGAAGTGCTTTACTTTTATTCTTTTAACTCTCACAACAATGCTCTAAGGCAGGTAGCATTATCATGACCTTACACATGAGAACAGTAAGACCCAGAGTGGTGTCTGAGGCCCAGCCGCAAATGGTGGGGCCAGGGATTGATCCTGGGCAGTCTGAGACCAGATTTTCTACTCTTTGACCATTACAAAATGCTGAATTTTAGATAAATTTTAGATAAAATGTACTGCAGATGTGATTACAGAACTTTCTCAGCAATACTGGTAGAATCAGGGCTCGTTAGGGAGTACAGGAGGATAGTTTCAGATTTCATAAACAGGAAAACAGGTGAAGGCCAGAAGCTGGGGCTCCTGGGGCCTGGCATGGATCCTGGCAAAACTGCCGAGTAAACTGGAAGCAGATGGACTGAGAAAAGGAAAGGAAGCTCAGAAAAGGAAGCTGTGAGCTCTAGGAGCAAGCATAGTTTAAAGCAAGAGTAAGTCAGGTCCAATTAATGTCATCTTATTATTGGAAGAGACTCACCTGGTAGAAACTGCATCTTGATCTCAATAAAGTATTTGATGAGGTCTCTGTATTGATATCCTTTTTACAAGCTGGAAAGTGGCACAGCATTAGCTCTAGATAAACACCCCACTAACTCAGGGTGGTTGAGCAAATTTATCCAAGGAGAGCGGGTTAATGAATCACTCTTAGTACCGAACACGGTATCTGGTGCACTGGAGAGTCATGGCAAATATGTACTGACTGAGGAAAACATAAAGCAGGCATCGATCCTGTGCTGATTCCTGACCTACTTAATACTTTATTCAGTGCCAAATAGTCAAGAAGGCACACTTACCAAATTTGCTGGTGATGCAAAGTTAGAGGGGGAAGCATTATTTCCTTAGATCATTGAATTTATTTTTAAAAAGATCTAAACATGTTAAAAGCAGGCTACCAAGATACATCTTAACAGCATAAATCTGAAATTCCACTTTACGTAAAAAATCAATTAGGCAAGCACAGAAGGAAAGATATCTTGTTTGAGGGTGATGCATGTGAAAAAAACTTTAATAGTTTTGATTGAACACAAGTTTAATAGAAGCCAAGAGTGTTCTATGGCTGCTCAAAATGCTGAAAAGAATCTTAAGGTGCATTAATAAATGCTTCCTTTTCAAATGAAGGTAGGCAATGTGCTTGTAGGATGTATTAGTCAGAATACATTGATGTCAATTCTGGTAGCTACATTTAAAAAAGAAATACAGAAAGAAAGACTGCACTGTAACCACAGGAAACAACAATGCTGAAAAGTATGTAATATGGTGCTAAAAGAAATGATGAAAAGACTGAAAATATAGATCTTAGAGGTATTTGGCTCACATAGGTCTAATGGGTCAAAACTAGAGAAGACAGATTTTGGTTTAGAATAAGGAAGAAAACAAATAAGATGATTATTAAATACACGAACTATTACATAAATGAATCTGTTGTTCCTGGAAGTACCTGGTACTATTTCCTGGGAGGAAATTCTAGATTTAAGTGGAAGGATGGAATGGATGAGTATATTGTCTTTCTTTTTTTATTTAAAAAAGATTAAGATAAAAGTGGATATAACAACACATGTCAGAACAGAACAATTTAAGCAACATAATGTTTCACCACAAGACAACCCGACATAACAGTAGTTACCATAGTGTCTCTTTCCTTGAAATATTTGAGTATACCTTCATATACTATAGTATCAAACATAACAAGACAGTGTAAAACCATTCAAGAGAATGAAAGTATTACAGGGTATTCAGAACCAACTAACAGAAAAGGAACAATGGTTACCAAATTATCTCCTTATCTTTCAATTCTAATCTTCTGATTTCATGATTGTGGCACTATCTAATTCTTTCTTCCTCTACATCTGAAGAGCTAAAAACTGAGATGGACTGATAGATGAGAGACAGATATTTAGGAGCTAAAAGATTATTTTATAGATTCATGAATCAATGACATTGACCCAAGTAGAAATACTTGTGGTCAGCAAGAGCTTCCAGCCACAACACATACATAATTAAAAATGCTAATTCTTGCCCCAGATACAGTGGTTTTAAAAAAGCAGTATGGAGATTTCAGTTTCTTGAAAGCAAAGCAAAAGTAAAGAAGTCACTCATTTTTTAAAAAAAATCTTCTTTTCAGCCTTACACTCTATCATTAAGTGAACCGAAACCAAGGTATTGAAAACTCAGGTAGTTTGACTTGAATTGAAAGAAAATCAAAAAGGGTAGATGATACATGGATTGTAGAAATGAATTCAAAGTTTGACAAAAGCCTAGTTTTTCAGGAATATCCAAATTGACCATTTTTCTCTTTTGTGTTAGAAGGTGACTTCACAGCAGATGTTTTAGAACCTTCAAGACGGTTCCAACTCTTTCAGTTGTACTCCCAAATTTTTTAAAAGTATGCATGGATCTATCATACTATGAAGTGTACCATGATCTAATTCAGCAGAAAAAAGGTATTATGACATTAAATATTTTCCAAATCTTTCTTTCTTGCTACCAAAAATACTACAGCCATTATTTCATGTTTTTCCTTTGATGGAATCACAGCATAAATAGCTTTTAAAGTAGGTGTGAAACAAACCTGAAGTATAGAATTGCTACTTACCTCGCTGATACTGGCCAACTCATGCATCAAAGTCATATGATTTTCATCTTCAACACTGACACGGAAAACCTTATTGCTATGTGACAAGATAGCAGAAAAATAAAGAATTTAAAATTGGGTGGTGTGTTCAAACTTTTGGGTCAGGAAGTACTTATTCTTCAACGAACTATCCACCTACCCTTCAAAATCCTCAGCATGATGAGAAGATGCTAAGGCCACAGTCACCAGAATCAGAAACGCCAACATTGTGGCAGACTGGGTCAGTGGAATGATCCAGGGTCTCACCTGCTTTTATATGCTAGAGTGTTCCTTGCTGGTCCACATTGCAAATAGACAATATCGGATTTTTGATTAGTGCTTTTCTTGGCATTGTTGCTTGGTAGCTGTGTAAAGTCTGAGAAGATCTCTCTTTTAACACCTGTGGAAACAGAGTAAGTAATCTCTTTTAGTTATTTAATATGAATGGCAGACCTTGAATAATTTGGAGGAAATTCAATTTTAAATAAATCAATATTCCAGTCTTTTTTAAATTGAGAATTACAGTCAATTCTATAGAATTTAACTATAAAGTTTGATGAGTTTTATCAGTGTGTATACATTTACATATTTATCAGTTTTTTAAAATATTATTGGGTTGTTCCTTTTTATCAATAAGTAATATTCCATTGGAGAAGTATACTATAATTTAACTATTTTTCTGTTGGTAGGTATGTTATTTCCAATTCTGTGTCATTAGTGTATCAAACTGCAACAAACATTTTTGAACAAGTCTGTTGTTCACATTTATTTTAACTTAAATGGGAATAAATATCTGGTGAAACTGTTAAACAGTCATGTAGATTTAATATTACAAGAATCTGCCAAACATTTTTTCCATAATGGTTTTATCATTTTTAAGCACCTCCCCCCATTCAGTTGTTTTGAATTTTCTCCAATTTTAATTTTATATTGTCTAATTTTGATAATTCTGATGAGTGTAAAGTATTTAATTGATTTTAATTTGCATTTCTGAGATGAATAAAAATATTGAATATCTTTCCATGTATTTATTACACTTCTGTGAAGGATCTATTGGAGTCTTTTTTTTTTTTTAAAGAGACTGGCTGTCATGTTGCAACTTAGGGCACTGGGAAACCAAGTAACCAGCTTGCCTCCCTGGTAAGCGGCTGTGGTGTGGCAGGCTGCAGCCACCTCAGGGGGAGAACCATCAGTGACTCCTGAGATCCATGCCATGTTGGAATTTAGGGTACTGGGAAATGAAGCAAGCAGCTCTCCTCCCTGCTAAGTCCTAGTGAGCCTACCAGTGGGCGGGCTGAGAATCAAACATCCCACCTACCCCTCCCCCCATTAGCAAATGGGAGCCAGAGGTCTGAGCATCTCTTGGGAGACTGCAATATAGCAAATAAAGGGGGATTTCCTTCTACCATCTCTTTGAAGGCAAATATTTTTACTACTGTTTTACTTTATTCTAATTAATGGTGCTGCTCTATTCAATATTCTGTTTTGATAGGTTCTATAATATTCTGTATTTTGTTTTACTTTGCTATATCTGATTGAAACAACAACTATTGTGAAGATAATGAGATATACTATGGTACCTATTACTTTTATCCCTGTAACCTGCTGTGAAGTTCTGTACCAGTTTCACTACACTGTCTAAATTGGCTTTGTTCTGTTGTATTTTACTACCGTCAAAATAAAAAAAAAAAAAAAAAAAAGTAAAAGATTGGCTATTTGTCTTTTTCTTCTTGTTTTGTAACACTTTATACAGTTTGAATACAGATCTTTGCTAAAAACCTATATTGCAGATATTTCTTCATTTTCACTTTCATTTCCTCAATATTATCTTTTGATAAGTATTTTAAATTTTTCTATTTAAAATATTCATTTTATTTATGCTTTTCTTTTCAATTAATGCCTTTACATTCTATATTAGTCAATGTTTACTAGAATCAGATGTAGGATGAAAGACATCTGTCCAAGGCTGGAGACTGGAAGAATCCAGCAGAGGGCCTGGAGCCCAAAACAGTATGTCGCATGAGTTCTGCTGAAGCTCAAGACCTATAGTTCGTGGACCGCAGCAAGAAGCGGAGGAATCTGCACTGCAAGATCTGAAGGGAAGAGAGTCTGCTAAAAAGTTGGTGCTGAAGACTCCAGAGAAGCACGAGACCACACCCAAAGCAAAGACAAAGACCGGGGCTGCCAGCCAAAGGACCGTCCAGGAAGGCCAGCACCAGAGCTATTCTCAAGAGAACAAGAGCCCCGCTTGGCGAAAACTGAGACTTCTCTGAGGGAAATCAGCGTAAAAACCTGCTCTCCTTATCTCCTTTGAAACCAGAACCTGCTAACTGGTACCAGAACCATGCTAACTCAGTTCAGGTGGGCATTGTCACTCAAGTTGACCATCAGTTAACCAACCACACAAATCTTTTCCACAAATCTTTGTCCATCCTGAGGTGTCAGACACATTGATCCTTGTTTGCTTGTACAAATTTTACAGCTACGAATCCTCAGGTATGGAGTGAAATCTGTGTAAATACCTTTTTAAAACAATGGCTATCCAGTGGACCCACTTTTATTTCCCCATTGAATTGCATTGGTTTCTTTGTCAAAATTCATTTGCTATAGTTGTAGGGGGCAATTTCTGGACTATGTGGTCCATGGATATGTTTGTCTAATTTTATAGGACGAGTACACTGTCTCAATTAATATACTTTAAATAGAAATTTTTAAGATCATAGGGCATATAAGCCTTCTATTCTTTTGTAAGATTGTTCTGGCTGTTTTAAGCATTTTATATTTGCACATATATTTTCTGGTTCCATTGGTATGATGTCCAGTAAGCCCAAAGGATCCTGTTTATATGAGTCTATGTCACATTTGTATACTGAATTTAGGAAATTCTTCTAATGTAGGGGATGCCAGAAAATCTACCCAGTGTTTGCCCTAGAAGAGATATTAGCTTTATTATCCTGAATAACAAACAGATCTTTCCTTTTCCCTGAAGACAGGCAGCATCTCTATCGTTCAATCCTACTATGAAAATATCTTTGAAAAGATACTTCAGAATAAAAGTTGTCCCAAGACAGGGAGAAACATAGGGACTCATGAGACATAGTCTCTCAACCATACCTTCTGCTTTTTACACTTTCTTAAATGAATCTACTCATTAATATGCTATTTGGTTGGTTACTTTGATTCATCTGACTGACAGGGCTGGAACCAAATCCATTCAATTTGTCTAAGGTGGCATTTAATTAAAGTTAATATCAGTAGAACTCCAAATAGCATGATGAGGCTAATCTGCAAAGCTGACCTCAACAGGACCTCCTTAGTGACCCAAAAAAAATGAAACAAATTGCATACACAATCAGTGTCTGCTTTAGAAAGGTGGACAGGAAACCTTTTCCTTAATTTTAGTATTGACTATTCTCTTTAGATTTAGAATTTGGGTATAAGAGCATCCATTTAGTATTGCATGCACTCTACAATAGCCTGTTAGGAGATAGGCTAGGGCAATTCTATTGTCTACAGTAACCTTGGTCATTGCTTTGGTACTGACATAAAGTCTTTCAGGGATAAGGTGTTGTTTATTGTATTTTGTGTGCACATATGATTAGAGTGCAGTGCATGATGTCTTCTTAGTCTCCTTTAATTTGGACTAGAATCTCAACTTGTATCTTTACTAATGACATTTTCAAAGAGACCAAGACAGGTACTGTGTACAATGTCCTTCAGTTTGGTTCTTCTCCATGTTTCCATGATTCTATTGAAAAATTAATATGTTTAATTCCAATTACATAACCACATCAATGCTGCTAGTAAAATGTTTAAAACTTACGGTGATTCATTGACTTCAAAAGCCTGCTTCTTTTTCAGGTATTATTAATTATTTCCTTCTCTGTACTTTTTTGTAATGCTTTGCTCTTATCTCTGCGTGTTTATATTTGTATTCTGGTTGAATAATTGTGGGTCTTTTCCTTTTACTATGATTGCAAGCTCTGCGAGAAATCAAACTGTGTCTTACTCATTTTAATTTGTTGTGTAGCAGGTTCAGGGTTCTTTGTTTAAATGGAGGAATAAAGAAATAAGGACAATCTGATATTTCACCAAAATGTCAAGTTATTTTCACATTGTCAAGTAACCACATTATAAGAGAGGTTAATAGTAAAATGGGTATTGATTTCTTTGGAAGGTCAAATTTTCTTCTCTTGGATTACTTGTGAAAACCTCCTAGAATTTCTTTTGGCTTTATGTCTATATAAAAAATTTACATCGAAGAAAAATTATGAATTACTCAAAGTCATGAAACTATTCCTCAACCATTTTTGATATGAAAGTCAGTTTCCCTGGAGAGCTTCTTAGAGTCTTTTCTATATTTGAATTGACATCAAGTGGTGTCCACATAGGATGTGTCTAGATTGCCAGACCCATCTTACCCTATGGTCTGGGATCCACATACGTGGTAAATAATATCATTTGCTCATAATTTATTGTAAACCACTGTGCTAATTATGCATATTCTGACTTTATGATTCAGTGTTCTTTTCTTTCTCTTTTCCATGCTTTGTCATTTGGATTTACTTCTTCGTTAATGTCTTTCCAGACTTGACCTTTGTATTCCATCATTCCTGATTTGGATTCTTTCATCACTTAAATTCCTAAGTTGCAAACAACCTAGGAAAGAAAACAAAACAAAACAAAACACCCACAAAACAAACAAAACAAGACAAAACTGAAGTAGCTAAATGAAAGCAGGAATTTGTTATTCACATAGCTGAAAAGTTTGGAAATAATGCTAGTTTCACAGGCTCAGTTAGCAGTGGTTGCTAAGCCTAAATCTCTGTTTTTTTCATTAATTCTGCCATTAACAGGAACAGTTGTACATCTGAATTAGTAACTCATTTGGAAAGATAATTTATTATTCCCAAAATTTATAACCCAGATCTTTAGATTTGGACTAATTTATGAGATCTATCTGTCTATCCTTGAAACAATTCTTGTGATCAAGACGATAGAATGAGGTGATTGATCAAATCTTAGCTACCCCTAAACTTTGAACTAAATCTTGCACAAAATATTTAATGTAATGACTATAGCTGCTGTGCTTTGTTCTCTAGGAAAGATCTCAAGAAGTCTTCATTTTGTTTGTCACCATCTCCCAAATCAAAGTCAAGCTCACAGGTCAATGCTTTTGATGGGAAAGTAAGTATTTGATTTTCAACTTTGATAGTGTGAAGAGTCGCTGTTTCTTATGGATTTTTTTCTAGAACATTCTCCAAATTTAGAGAATGGCTTCTGATCTTGATGATGAAATAA